TATATATATAAATAAAAAATTTGGTAAAAGAAAAGTTATATATTTTTCTTTCAACTTCAAAATCAAAAAAAAAAAATTTCTTTCAAAAATTTATCAATCAATATTTTTAAAATGACTATAAAATACGACTGTTTGAATGTGTACAGTCAGTGAACATCATTTTAGGAACTATTTCTTGAAAAATTCTTATTATCATTTAAAGGACACAACAAATTTTTTAATAATTAAATATGAATTAAGTAAAAACATTTTGCAAAAAAAAAAAAAAAAAAAAATNAAAAAAAAAAAAAAAAAGTAATTCTGATCTTATAAGTTTCATATAGCAATAATTTTGCAAAAATATAAATTAACTAACAGAACCATACTTTCTACACAAGCATTATTGAGAATCATACTTACATAGGATTAATTTTTGGATTATAACTGTCAGTCATGACTGCTAAAGGATAACACTGTTCTAGAAGTAATTCTTTGCAAATTTGCATAGTTTCTTCAAGTGCATGAGCATCAATGCAAGAAAAACAAAGGAATGTATTAGTAAAATCAGCACCAACATTTTCCATAGTCTCGAACAACTCTTCAATAAGCAATCTTGAAATATAAGAATTATGTAGTTACATCATATGCATATACCAAAGACATTGAATTGAAAACTATCCAAGATAACAAAAACTTCATTTGGAAAAGTTAAAGGCTGTTTTTCAGCATTATATTTATTGCTGATTTCTTATAGAAATAGATAAGGTTGCAAGTATGTTACAGGAAAAAAATGGGATGAAGTTTGTTTTAGATTCCCAATAAATTTTAAAATTTGGGGGAACTCAAATACAAAAAAAGAAACAATCTATGAACTGACAAACAGCAAAAGATGTCGTACAAATAATAAAAAAAGAGAAAATAAAAGAGCAGAAAAATCATATCGTTTAATTTAATGCAATATTTTTTTCGTTTGAATGGAAAGAATTTTAATACAAAACAATAACATTGTACATAAGGTTTCTTCATTCATTAAATATTATATTTGTTTGGCATAATTTCTTCACATTTTTCAACACAAAAGCTATAGAAGTATAACTGGTGTTATCTCTTCAATCCAATAACTTTTATTTGATAAAGGAGAAGGTTAACTAAATCTTACTTTTGGATTCTTATTGCACTTTTAAGGATTAATGGGGGCATGATTGTCTGGGTTAATTAATAATTCAAGTAGAAAAAAATCTTAATTCATAGAATATGGACTATTTCTAAACTGTCTTCTGGCCATTTTGCTAATGATCCATTCTCCGGATATTTTATCAGTTATAGATTATAAATTTTCAAGCTTTGAAAAATACTGATTACTATTAAAATGAAAATAAGAAATTAAAAAACCAAAAAATGTCATATCTTAAACCATTTTAATGTCATTTTGAAAAATTCACTGATTTTAGAAAGAAAAAGAAAAAACATTATTTCACATAAATTATTGTGGAAATTCATACCGTCACAAACTTTCAGCTCAAGTAATCAATAATAGCACAATTTGCTAGCAAATAATAGACATAAGTTTTGACCATTCATTAAAATCTAAAGAGGTTCAACTCACTTATCATCAGAAGTCAATCTTGCAACTAAGCCTAACTAAAATAATAAAAAATTATAATGAGTAAGGAAAAAAAAATAAAAGAGAAAAATAAATACTTATCTTCAATTTGTATTACACAAAAATAATTAACATAAAAATTATAAGAATTATTGTTCTTAATTTTTTTTATGTAGGATTGCATTTGATTCAATTTCAATTATTTAAATTGAATAGATATTGTTAAAAGCCTAGAAAATACAAGAGTTCAAATTACTAAAAGAAGATTAAAAATTAAACAAAAATAAGTATATGATTATCTAAATTTACTATTATTTTTATTTCAGAAACTTGCACACATTTGCAAAATAATTTTTATTAATCAGGTACAATTTCTTATGTTTTATATTCCCTAGCGAAAATATAAATTAATAGTTAGAGCCTTTCTAATATAATACTATTATAAATTATCCTAATTCTTTAAAATAAACAAAAAAAAATCATTTAATAAAAAAATAAGTATAAAAAAATAAGTATTAGAAAATTAAAACAGTCAAATTAAGTAATCATTTCAAAAATACAATTTTTGAGTATCATCAAAGGATAAAAATAATAGTAGTAATTGGTATGATTTACAACTGGTCTGAAAAATAACAAGAAAGTAAACAAAATAACTTTAAGAAAAGATGTGAAAGATAAGAAGGAAATACATTCCAGTAAGTACAAGGTATCTGCTACAATTTTAGACTTTCAAATTCTTGACTTTTCATGACTAATTCCAAGAATTTTTCATGACTTAACGAAATTACTATTTTCTCCCGACAAAAACAGAACAAAAAATTTCAAAAGCAATATAATAACATTAATTGAAATGATAGGTATAACCAAAACAGTTATACTCTGCATCTTCATATTTATAGATTTTAAATTTAAAAAAACAGAGAAGAGAAAGAGTTGAAACAATAAAATAGCTGAAAAAAATACAAAAGCAAATATTTTTTTTCTGCAGAATTATAATCTAAAAACACTTTTCTTGTTCATGTGAAAGGAAAGAAATACTCCTGATTTTTCTGTTCTCATTTTGGAATAAAAAATATTCGCCAATGACTGGCATGCTTCAGCTAGAATTTTAAATTGATAAAATAAAAAAAATATATAATAATAAAAATTATGAAATCACAGAAGTTAAAAAGATAATTCTCTCTAGAAATGATGATTTTTCTTTCATTTATTGAAAGATTACTATAAGAACACAATTAAAAACATTTTATATTTTAATAAAACATGACTGTGAGTGGGGATTTTGTTACAAATTCAGATATTTGGAACACCATGAAATTAGGGGGAGAGGTAAAATCCCTTTCAAAAATTCAGTGACCTAAATCCACCACTTTCCATGATTTTTGGAAAAAATAGTTAAAATCATGACATTTCATGACAAATTTTGTTCAATACAGAACTTTCCAGGTGTGCGGATACCCTGTAAGTATCTTATGAAATAATATTTTTTAATATAATGGTATGTTAAAAAAATTACAAACAAGTATATTATTTTATATTACCTTATCCTGCATTTTTTTCATAAAAGTGGCCTGAAACTCTGTTTGGTACAATTCTAAAAGTGGAATAGATTTTTCTAAGGGTAAAGCTTTCTTAATGCTCTCGGCAAGTTTTTGGAGATTCCATAAGCAAATTTCTGGTTGCTTAATGAAAGTGTAACGTCCACCATCATCTGAAAGATAAATAAGCATAAAATGATACATTTCATTTATATCATAACATATTAATGAAATAGAAAATCTAAAATATTTCAGTTCTTATTAAATTGTAAAATAACACTATTTCCAGCATTTCTCCTCTTAAGCATAGAATGAAAAAATTAATCTCATAAAAACGAATATAATTCTAAGCAGAAAATAAAAATGCAGAGATTACTTAAGGTCATTATGGGTAATCGGCAATTTAAGAATTTAAAATATAGAAATCAGACAATAAAAAAAATTTTTTTTAATACAGAGGAAACGTAAAATTTATTTTTTACAATAGCAAATTAAATAAAGAAAAAAGAAGAAAAAAACAATGTTTTTCCTTTCTATTTATTACTGAAACAAGTTTTTTTTATTTTCATAACCATCTTAATACATAAAAAAAATTTTACAGCCATATTTTAATTATTACCTTAGCTAATATCTTGTTTAGGAAGCATTTAACATATTATAAGATCTCATTTAAAAGCATTAAGATGACTGCTAAACTAAGATTTTAATATTAGTTTATCACAATTGTAATTTGGAATCCTGCCATCTCATGCAATAAAGTATTTTCTAATAAGATTATGTAAAAGTAACTACGAGGATCTAAATATATCTTGTTCATTTTCTTTCCTTCTCATAACATAAGATTATAGATAAATAGAATTGCGGATGAATATATGAAGTTTTAAAATTCTAATCAACAATGATGAAGTTATAAAATTCTTATCCTCAAAAATCAAGTTTTCATATACTTAAATAAAATACTTACCAGAGGCATTGCATACGTGATTCGGATTATAGATATCTAAAAAACCGAATGGCCCATAGTCTAAAGTCAGACCAACAATACTCATATTATCAGTATTCAAAACCCTAAAAAAGGTTATAAACTATTAATATTTTTTGAAATTATTTTATGATTGAATAAATAATTTAATAGAAATAATTCAATAAAATCAGTGACCAAGGTATTTTGAATGAGCTAAAATTATTAATTTATAAAAATAGTATCACTAATTGAACTTTTTTAGTTATAAAGAGTTTATTTTTGACAAATTTTTTTTTTCTGTATACCAATATTTATTAACATTTATTCATTAAATTTGAAAAATTTTCTTATGTATTTCAAAATTAGTTTGATAGGAGAAAATAGTTACTAAGTATTTATACAATATAGACATGATTTCACTTTCCTTTCCTTAAGTTTTTACTATAATTCAAACCTATTGTTAAACATAATATTGATCTAGTACAGTAGGGAACCGATTATCAGGAACGATCGGGACCATCGCTATTCCGGACAACTGATTTTTCCAGTTTTCTGAATCGCTACAAAAAGCCGTTTTTTTTTATTGTTAAACCCAACTAAAAAAAATAATATTTGGAAATAATCTTAAAAAGAAGAAAAAACGAAGTAATACGCTAATGATTATTTCCAAAATGATAGTAAGGTAAACATCTTTACAAAAAGAAAGAAAAATCCTAAAATTTTATGAGGAAAAAAAAATTTTTTTTTTTTTAAATGGCGGGAATATTTATCAAATTTCGTTCCGGTTTTTTGGCTTTCTGATTTCCGGATAACGGGTTCTGTACTGCATAAGCATCTTTTCATTTGGTATAAGCATTGCAGCATAGCCAATTAACTTGAAGGAGGAATTTTTATTTACTTTTAGATTTTATAATGAGTAGGAAAACTTCACTCCTACCCAATATATCTTTATATAGCATGGTGCATTTTCTAAAGTAAAACATTCCTACAACAGATAATTGTTGATCAAGGAGTAATGACATTTAAGGCCCCCACAGTTTCAAGATTAGCAGCATAGTGATGACAATGTAGTTAGCATTGGGCTGCAACTACTTTTAGATCACACTAAGCTGCTATTGGAGATAGAATATGGTTCTACACTAAGACAGCTCAGTGCCACAAAACACACAGTTATGAACAACTCTGCCACTGCTGCTGCGAAAGATACTTTCTTACATACAGGATAGTGAGATGGTTTTTTTCCGTTTTGATTTTTTTTAAAACAGGAAACTAACAGAAAAAGACATTAAGGTATATAAAAGTAGGATATTATAAGGTAAGATATCATATGGAATAAATGAACAGAACAGCAGCATAACCATTCCGGAACAGAAAATAGATGCTTTAATACAAAGCAATTTATTTTAGCTCACAAATTGGTTGGTTAATTGGGCTGAAGTTGCAGTCTTTGTTTAATGCGTACTATTAAATTTTTGGAGCAGCTTGGCACAATTTTGGAGAAAAAAACCCCTGCATTTTGGAGCAGACATTTAGTTTTAAAAACGTTTGATGCAATTTGTGCAGGGATAAAACTCAAAACTATATGAACCTATATTTCATGAAATTCAGAACTAGTTGTTGTTAATTTACGTCACACTAGAGCTTCACAATGGGCTATTGGCGACGGTCTGGGAAACATCCCGGAGGATGATCCGTAGACATGCCATCACAATTTTGATCCTCTGCGGAGGGGATGGCACCCTCGCTTCGGTAGCCCGACGACCTGCGCGCGAAGTCGAGCACTTTACGGTAGCACAGTTTAACGAGGACCAATACCGCACACCCTCGGTCCCTACGCAGACTGATCCACTTGGTCACCCACCCGCACACTGACCGTAGCCAGCGATGCTTGACTTCGGTGATCTGCTGGGAACCGTGTCTTAATGAAATTCAGAACTAAAATCCTATCCTTTTAATATTAGAATGAAAGATTATGTAAACAATAGTTTATATTAATATTAACTTCACTGTCTTGAAGTATTTTGAATTCTATACAATATTTTATAAAATGTTTTATAAGGAATAATAAAAAATCACCATGGATTTTTAGTGACAGCTTTTGTTTGTGTGATTCAACAAAACATTCTAATATTAAAACACATTTTAAGCATGGAGGTGAAAAAAATTAAGGTCAAACATATTAAAATATATTAAATAATTGCACATGAAATATAAAGATTTTTATCCAAATCAATAAATTATTTACCCATGACAGAAACCTACGCTTTGCCACAGAGCAACTAATCTTGCAGTGCGTAGAACAATTTCTTTGAAAAAGGCAATGTATTTTTGCTCTTGACTCTCTGTATTTGCTGCTATCTTAAAATAAGAACATGATGAAAATAACAATAAAGGATCACATATTGAAAAATATTCTAACACAGAAGAAATTAATATGATGAACTAACTTCAGGATAGAAGGTGTCAATAATGTAATTGAGAAGAGTATTGAGGATATCTATTCTTCCAACACTTGGTCCAACTTTTTCAGTCAGTGGATCTAAAGTATTAAAAATTTCAAAAGAACCAAACCTAGAAAAAAAAACAATAAAAAACAAGTTAAGGAAATTAAAATATATACAAAAAATAGTTTGACAAATATAACAATTTCAAAGAAATAAAATCAGTGTGAAACACATAAAAACAATTTTAAACATCATAAGTCTCTTGTAATTCTGGTGAGCAGAGGCTTATTTTTTTTCAAAACATGTAGGTATATAGGGGGAATGATACATCTACTACTATTATCACATGCTGCTTTAAGAAGTTTTAAAAAATATACTATAACAAATTTTGATTTAATTTTAGCAATTAGATGTTCTTTAAGGTTTATGGATCATATATATATGTAGATATATAAACACACAGTCGGACTTCTATTTAACGAACTTCCATTTTACGAATTTCTCTATTTTGCAATTTTTCTTCTTCGAAGAAACAAGAACATTTTGGAAATTTCTTCGTAAAATAACTTCCAAATAGCCTCACACAAATATTTTGAGTACATTTTAATCTACTTATTTGTTTTGTTTTAATATTTTTTTGCGTTTACTTATTTGACTTTTTCCCCATTTGATGCAGATGTTTGCCTGGTCACTTAAGAGGTTTTAATGGTCTCTACTAAAGGTTTTCTTCAACACAAAGTCAATGGAAAAAATTCTGTGCCTCATAAAAGTGGTCGTAAATGGAGGTGGTTTTTCATTGTAATATGTTTTTCATTTCTTTTGATGTCAAATTGTATACAGAATCTAATAAAAATATTAGTTCTAACCAGGGTTGGCAGGTTTTTGACATGTGACAGTTTTTGACGGCTTAAACCGTCGCGTCAAAAACCTCACTGTCGAAAATGTCAAAAACCTATATTCATATGTGAAATTTAATTAATACATAAAATTTATATATTTTTTATAAAGGATAGTGTTTCTAAATATGTTAGTGTTTCTATATATAGTAATAAACTTTTAATTTTCTCAAGTATCGAAAAAAAAAATTTTTTTTTCAAAATATAAATATTTAAAAAATGTTTGTACAAAATTTTTCTGCACATGCATTTGAATTTAAATTTCTGAGATTTTAAATCTGTTATTTTACCTTAACTATAATTAAAAAATATTTTAAAACTTGCTGATTACCTATAGTATAATTAAATTTCAATATATGGCAACTGTTGGTAGTTTTGAAGTTTATATATTTTATTGGCAAACTTCAGTTTTTGACGGTTCAAACCAGTATTATACCCTTGTCATGTCAAAAACCCAACCCTGCTTTGAACGCAGTTCTAACATGAGCAACATAGTTCATAAGAGTGAAAATTGAAACACCCAAAATTAAACAGTTAAGTGGAAGAAAAAAAAATTATAAGTATAGCTTAAAAAAAGTGACATTTTGTACAAAGGAAATTATCCGAACTAGAACTTCATGAAAAAAGGGGAGTGAAGCAATATATCAAGAGACCGATCAAAGGAATAATTTTAATAAAATTAACTCTGAGACCCCAAACAAATTGAAAAAAAATAATAATAGTAAAGGTTTACTAGTTAATGCTGTTTACATAGAGAATTAATCATTTATTTATGAATAGACTAGTATGTTTTTAATTCTATAATGTTCTTAAATATAGTTAGTATCTATAAAAATGATAAATAAGTTTGTTTAAAAATTTTTGAAATAATTTATCATTTTAAAAGTAATGCTTTTTTTGTTCTTACAATACAAATCTTTAAGAAAGCTTGATATATTGTCTGACTAAGAGTTATTTCAATTAAAAAAGAAGAAAAAAAAATGAAGCCATAAATATCACACATTTAAAAAAAATTGTTAGGTTAATATCTTCTAGGAGATGAAATTACACATACAGACAATTATATTAATTTCTTTGAATACCTAATGAAGGTTGGTGCAATCCTTAGGACAATAGTACATTTTTCTGGCTTTGGATGGCCATCATAAAATATGTCTCTAATCACTTCAGAATCTGAAGTGATACATGTGCCAGCTCTAGATGTTGGTATGTTCAGAAAGTGCATTGCCTGTTCCAAATAAAACAACATAACTACATAAATTAAAAACAAATTTTAATTTGTTTAAAAAATGTGTGTGTATATATATATATATATATATATATATANACCATTATTTAAGTTTTTTATTTTACATACCTATAACTTAAGTTAAGAAAAAATAATCGTGAAGAATTGTCTCTGGAATGTTTATTTAAAATTTCTTCAATTTTGCCAATTTTTGACATAATTAAAAAAAAAAAATTTTTTTTTTTAAACTTCACTAAATATTTTTTTAAATAACAAGTAATGAAATTCTTAATAATAATTTGTAGTAATAGACACATTCTAAAGAATGAATTCTTCATTCATTCTTTAAAAAATATTTTAGAAATTTTCAAACAATTACATAAAAAGTCAATTTTTTCCCTTCAATAGTGGAGTATAACTCAACGGTGCCACACTTCAGGTACCAAGCCTTTGTGGTCTGTTCTGAATAAGGATTTTTCTATTCCTTTAAAAGTTATATATATATATATATATATATATATATATATATATAAAAGCTATATTTATGAAAATTATCACATTAACAGAAAAATCATAAGAAAAATTATATATAATTCTACACAAAAAATAGATATTTTGAAAAGTTTAAAAAATTAAATTTTATATTGCGGAAATCTTTGAAAATTTTTCCTGATAATAAGATTTTGATAAGTCCATGAACCAATTGTTTTGAGGGAGTGGAATTCTAAGATATTTATGGAAAAATTACATGTCTATTCCTAGATCTTAGACATGGAAGGATGATAAGAAAAACCTGGAAATCCGGGGCACACCCAGTATACAATTCATTACGAATATTTCAGAAAAAAATTTGAAATATAGCATAAAAATTGATAAGAAGAATAAAGGTTAAACATGCATAGGCTGCATCAAAAAGCCAAATAATTTTATGAGAAATATATGTTAACTTACTTCACTGCACAAAAATTCTCTTATGCTAGACCTTAAGACTTTTCTTCCATCAGCAGTTCTCGAATATGGTGTAAGACCAGCACCTTTTAGTTGGATTTCCCATCTTTCGTTTTTCTTGTTTAGTATCTCACCAAGGTAACTAAAAAATAAGTTCCACAGAAGAATATTCAATGTACTTAGAAAAATTAGAAGAAAAATAAATAAAAGAAAACTATTTTTTCATACAACTTTATGGTAAAGCTTATTTCAAAATTTGGTAGATTGGAAATAGGCAAAGTTTTAGTTTTTCTGAGTTTATATAATCATTTCTTTTACCACTTACATTGCAGCTCCATCTCCAAGTTGGCCAGAAAAATATCCAAATTGATGACCACAATAACAATGGGAAGCAGGTTCTGATTCAGGCAGTAATTTATTACCAGAAAAGTATTCAACCAAATCTTTACGTTCAATTTCGGTGTCAGATAAATCAAGAAGTTGCAATGCTGCTTTGGATAATGCTACAAGCTTAGGATTTTTTACAGGAGTAGGTTTAACTTTTGAAAAACAAGCACCCCTTACAGTTCGAACATAGTTTTTGTCTTCATTATCGATTGGTAATTTTTTTAAAGCCAAGTTATCAAATTTTAAAGATTCTAAAGTAGTCATCATAGAAGAGATATTCTTATTGTTTCCAGAAATTTGTTTACATAGAGAAGAAAACTTGAGTAAATTTTTCATACGGTAATGAAAGTTTTATTCTACCAGTAAATTTAATAAGCTAAATTTATTCGTCATACCCCTGGAAGGATGAGAACATGTATGTTATTTTTACAGAATATTTGTTATGAAACACGCTTATCTGTTTATTTACTATTTTGCTTATAAATGCGCATGCGCTCGATGTGCTTGACTAGAATTTATTTCAGCAAAAAATTTTCGCAAAAGTAACCTTGTTGAAGAAATGGTGTTAAGAAATAATTCCAATAATAACATTTTTTTAATATTTTGCTCCTTTTTTCTCAATAGAAAAAAAGTAAAATCTATTTAAACGACGTATGAAAAACGGAACACTTTTATGTCTTATTATTATTACTAGATGGCAGCGTCATTAGGAATAGTCTTTTTCAGCTATCACATGTTTTTTAAACCCAAAGTGGAGCTGTCTCTCCTTCCCTACATCTCTTTTCTTGAAATAAACAAAAACACCTTTTACTTTTGTATATTTCATCTTCAAAGTTGTTATTAAAATTAAACGATTGAATTTTATTGTTCTTTTACCACTGTTTTACGCGTATTATAATGCTTTATTCTATGAAAATATTATTTGATTTTCTTATATTAATGCTTAATATAAATTGCTCTAGGAATTGAAATTAATTTTTAACTGTGAAGCCGGAAAAGTTAGTTCTTGTTATTTATTGTTTCAATTTCTAAAATTTCATTTAAAGAGGATGATTATGCTAATGTTATTCATTGTTATTTGATTTTAATGCGATAATTTTTTTTTTAAAAAAGGGGGGACGATTTTAGTTAGTTAAGAGCGATAGCGAGCATGGATATATTTCGCTGATAAACTGAAAATGAAAAATACGCCTTCTTTTCCAATAACTTTTGGAACAACTATTTTGCATAGCTGCTAAAATCTCCCGGTTTTCGGGGCAATTTTTTTTAATTTTTTTTTAAATTTAAAGTAATAACAAATTGTTGACTTTAATATTTTTTTTCTTAATTTAACAAAGTTAATTTATGATTTTGTCCACCATTATGGATAAGTAATTAAAAAAACTGTTACGAAATTTTAACATCATTCTTTAAAAATATTAAGTGTTTGCGAAGATAAAATAATTCTTGCTTATACAATTGTGTAATTCTTGCTTTTATTTCAGGAGAAAGAAAGAATCTTAATCAGAAGAGATATGATAGGCGGATATTATATTGTTTGGTTTCTGCTTTTATGATCAACTTTTATTCTTTTCCAATATCTAGATTGTTTTTCACTGCTTTGTAGGCAATCTGCCCCGAAATTCGAAGCAATCTGAAATCAACTTTGTGAACAGTTTTAGGGGTATGCCTGGCAAGGGTGGAGCCTATAATATAATTAATAAATAATATATTAAAGAGTAAAAACTGAGGTATTAAACCAGATCAAGGTGGAGATAGTGAGCAAAGTTATCTGAAACGTTTCGAGATCGAGCAAAAAACAAATTCCCCTATTTAGTTTAGCGAAAACTATTTGCCGTAGAGTTACATCTCTTTTGTTGATAAACAATTCATCTTAATTTGCTTGGATTTTTAATTACTTTTAGGGGCAATTAAATTTCTAAGTTACGTTTTTTTTTTTGAACGAATATCAATCCACTCCAATGTCATAATTCTTTGTTACTATTAAATAATCTATCCCAGATCGTGAAGCAATCTGAAATCAATTTCGTAAGAAGTTCCAGAGGTTAGCGAGTGAAGCAGGAATTTTTAAAAAAATTTAATTTATTATTATTATTGCTGCATATTCCTAATGGGCACTTTCATTTCTTATTTCCTTTAAAATAAAATTTTTAAATCCCCTCCATTTTTAGAACTATACTCTCGGAATAACGGCTGTGATTGTTCAATAAGCACTGCACTGAGTCAACTGTTTTAGAAAAAATCTATTTTTGTTGTCTAATTTCATAGTTTTCATTTGTCAAGATTCTTATTCAAATTTGAAGGACGTGCATTAAATGAGATAATAGTACTAGTCTATTTAAAATATTTTAAAACTTTCGAATAGATGGAAAACCACTTTTTCAATTAATAAAACATAAATAATTTTCACTTCGTCTTTGACTCTTTTAACAATCAATTAAAAACGTTCGTGTTTTAACTCTCAATGCAAGACAGTCAGATGGGCAGGCAAATGTTAATCTTTTCGTTTTAGTCAACAGTAAATATATACAAAATAGTATAAAAATATTAAAATGACTTTTTCAATATTTTTGTACTATTTTGTATATAGAGGTCGTTTTGATTACTACATACCACTTTGATAATGGAGGTCAAGGCACAAAATTTGCTACTTGACCTCTGTAATGACGATCATAAACCAGGATTGGCCAGCTTTTGACAATTGACAGTTTTATCTAGTTTTAACCGTCCTGTTAAAAGCCCGAAATTTTGAAGTGAGATAATTATTAGCCATTTTAAATATGAAGTATTTATAAATAAACATACATATTAAATTAGAAGTGATTGATCACTTATGTTTTTAAATTATTTTGATTTTTCACTCTCGTTATTAATTGACTATTGCTATCAAAAACTCAAATTTTGGTGTAGAAAATATTAAATAGAAATAAAAATATGAAAAATTGGAATTTATCCAATCCATTAATTTAATTATTGAAAATAAAAATACAAAAACAATCATCTTACAAAAAATAATTTGTGAAATTTTTAAATTTCTACTCATAAACTTGAATTATAACTAATAATGGCACAAATAGACATATAATGTTTTTTTGATTAAGAAATATTTTGCAAAGCAGCACATTTTTTAACAATAAAATAATTAGTAGGAACTCTCTTANAAGAAAGTTTTTGCAAAGCAGCACATTTTTTAACAATAAAATAATTAGTAGGAACTCTCTTAGAACAAAACTTTTTCCAGGGCTGTCTAAATTTCCCCCCAAACCCAGTTCTCACGATTAGACACATTCTGCTTCCTGGCATATAAATAATAACAAATTGAGAATAATGAGAAAAACTTTATAAGTGGAGTTCAGATAATTATTAGAGACTACTTAAAGTTTTACTTATATAAAAAATTTGCCTAAATTGTGGCTTAAAAGAAATAAATTTATATATTTAGATTGATAATAATTAACAACTGATAGTTATTACCTATTATATAAACTGAATAGTTATAATATAACAACTAATATTGGTCTTGAAGTATTAAGAGTGCCATGAGTTTTAAACTCAAAATTAGGTCATCTGTTCAACGACGGTTATAAAATAAAATTGTATATAATGCAAGAATTGTGTATGATTTTCTGTCCGAAGTAAAATGTCCCAAATGACAAAAAATGAACTTATTCTAGGGTTTTATCAGATTTCGACTGGTTTTGACGTCAGAAACCTAACCCTGTCATAAACTATTTATGCATTAGATTAATATATATTTGTTTTTAAAAATATCTAAATTTTAAAGCCAATACATTTTGCAATATAAAGTCTAAAACAAAGTAGACTAATAATTTTAAAATAGATTATAGTTATTTCAATTATATTAAGCAAATTAAGAGAAGCTGACAATTTTAAGTTTCACTTTGACCTTGATTTTCGGTTAAAAAATCTTTTATAAATTTAAAAACCGAGGAGTATTGTCTTAAGTAAGTTTTAGCAGAACTTTAATTATATGAATTATGGCATTTGATATTTGAAAAAAGAAAATATTTTCTTAACTTAAAACAAAAAAATTGACTAAATGGCTCAAAAAGTATTTTTAGTGATGTGTAAGCACTTCTTATCAAGCAATTATAACCGAATCACCAAACAATATGGCTCTTCTGGTGAGCTCATTTAAAGTCTAAAGAAGTTTTTTTCCTAAAAAAACAGATTCAAAACAAAATTAATGTCCAATTCTTTTTCTAATTTTTTTCTCAACAGAAAGTAATTATGTTGAAAAGCGGCAGGTAAAGAAGTGCACCAGGAAAGATCCCGATTTCTCGGAGGGCGAGTCTTTGCCTGATTCCTGGTGTAATACACAAAGTTGTGTGAAATAAATACAGGGTGTTTATAAAGTCCTGGACCCATTTTGATGTTTAATAACTCATAAAATAATAGAGTTAGATTAAAACTAAAAACATAAATGGTTAGATAGACTCAAAAAATTTCATGACCCGGACGTCCCTGCACAAGTGATTTTGACATTGAGACAATCCTAGAAGATCTGTGAGATCAGCGGCAAGAGAATTGGATATGCCAATTTCGACAGTGTACTAGGTTATTAAGAAACAATTAATACTGCATGCATACAAAGTTCAAGGTTTGGAACCGGATGATAGGCCTAGGAGGATGGCGTTTGCAACAGATATGGAAGGAAGGATAGAAGATGCTGCTGATTTTCTGAGGCGCGTAATGTTCTCCGACGAAGCATCCTTTCATGTTTCTGCCATTGTTAATCGCTATAATGTGTGCATATGGGGATCTGAAAAACCCCATGAATACAGTGAGACACAAAGGGATTCCCCAAAGGTTAATGTGTGGTGTGAACTAATGCACAGCCGAGTCATTGGGCCTCTCTTTTTTACAGAAAAGACGGTCTCATCAATCGTATACTTAGACATGTTGGAAAACTTCGTATTTCCACAACTAGAAGAGCTTCAGCCACATGTCTTTTTGCAACAAGATGGTGCACCGCCTCATTGGAGTATCATTGTTCGTAGTTCTTTGAATGACCATTTTCCAGGAAGATGGATTGGGCAAGGAAGTCCAATTCCTTGACCACCCAGAACGCCGCTGGACTTTTTTCTTTGGCGATTTATAAAGGACAGTGTTTACAGGAGGATCGCGTCGAACATTAATGACCTAAAAGTCAGAATTACAACCGCAATAGCCTTTGTGGATGCCGACATGCTTGCCGCTACCTGGCGTGAAATTGACTATCGACTTGATATTCATGCCGTGCGACGAAGGGGCCACACTTGGAAGTTCATTGACAAGTTCATTTTAATCTATCTTTATTATTTTATGAGTTATTAAACATCAAAATGGGTCCGGGACTTTATAAACACCCTGTATATTACGTTTAGCATCCAATGTTGTTTATTAAAATTTTTTTTACATGCTACTTTATTTGCTTTATTATTTAAACATTTCCTTAATTTTTTTAGATGGATTTAAAATCTGATGCTACTCTATTAGGAGCATGGACCTTTTTTGCTTCTGCACATGCCATAGATGTATGTGGAATTAACGGATTGCCTCTGACTCCTAATTCAATTCGCATCTTAGGCAGATTTCAAAAATTGAAGCTTTTAATTCATGATAGATTAAGTCTTTACTTAGATGCACAAAGAGGGAAACATGGTAAGTATCTAAACATTTTGCATAATTTTTTATAGTCTGTTTAAAAATAATCTGTGATTGACAATGTTTTTAGCTATCCAACTATCCATTTTATAACCGTCATTGAATGACCTACCAAATTTTTTAGTTTACGACTACTAATATTCAACTCCTTGCCTTCTAATTTTGAACACAATCGAAGAGACAAGGGAACTCTTGGATCAAGTGCTGGGAGAAATTTGTCTTTGTGGAGTACTTTTTGAAGGAACTAACCATCATTTGCTTTACATGGGGAGGAAAACCACAAAACCTCCCACAGTTAGCCTGACAGCAGGAGAACTCTACCCCATGATCATCAACTGTTGAGGATACCCTAGCAGCAAAATAACTTGGGCCCTTATTTGACCAATATTAAGGAATCTTGGCTCAATAAGGGCTCAAAGGGCTGATATTTTTCCGATATGGGCCCTATATAGAATTGTCCGATTCACCCGATATTTTATAATTATTCATCCAATATAAGCCCTATATAGCCCGATATTGACACTGCTTATGACCAATATTAAAAAATTTAGACATCCCAGTATTGGTCCCTTGAAACATGTTCATATAGGACCTATATTGAGCCAATTTTGACCCAACTGGGCCAAGGTAATATTGTTACTAGGGTATTCTACATCAGCACTGTGGTCGGTGGGGAATTCATATTGACCAGCTATTGACAGGTTTCGAACCTGGGTCACCTCATTGGGAGGCAAAGGCTCTATCCTCTGAGTCACCTCAACCTTCCATTAAAATTTTTTGAAATTAATATATGAAGCAGTTATATTTTCCATATGATTAGAGGGCCTTGCTCGCTGTAACTCCTCAACCCCCAATTGTTACACATTATTCTTTGTTTGCATCATAAACAAATTTGACAAAAATTGAAATTAAATTTAAAGAAACAAAATATTATACCTTAATAATTTTGTTAAAATTGGAAAATTGCAAGCATGTTATATATATTTTTACAAATTTATAAATCTAGGAACAAAGTAATTCAAATAATGCAATGATGAGTATCTAAAAATATAACATGGTACAGTACAGAACCCGTTATCCGGAAATCAGAAAACCGGAAAACCAAAAAACCGGAACGAAATTCGATAAATATTCCCTCTATTTAAAAAAAAAAATTTTTTAGAAATAATCATTACTGTCTTACTTCATCGTTTTTTCTTCTTTTTAAGATTATTTCCAAACATTTTTTTTTTTTTAGTTGGGTTTAACAATAAAAAAAAAACGGCTTTTTGTAGCGATTCAGAAAACCGGAAAAATCAGTTATCCGGAATAGCGATGGTCCCGATCGTTCCGGATAATCGGTTCCCTACTGTACAACTAATTTCAACCAAAGTTTTAGTGTTATAAGATTTCTATGTAGACAATACTTTTTATTGCCACTTTCTCAGATTCATTTTGTGTATCTATTATTTTTACTTTTAAGCCTGCTTTTCTACAGCATCTGGATAGGTCTGCAGATAATTTCTAATGACAAAAAATGGGATGATTTTGGTCACTTTGTTGATGGTCATTGCAAATACCAAGCAAACAGGAAACTATGTGTAATGAAGGACAAACAGAAACTTTCCGCTGTCTTTAGTGTTTAACTATATTCTTGGGATACATATGGTATTCTCAGCTCAATCGTCATGATATTACAAAATAGAACCAATTTAATAATTTTTTCTACAGTTACTTCTACCATTACACAAACCATTTGCTTTGCATTGATTTTTATTTACATGACAATTGCACTTTCTTTGTGACACAATTTAAGCAATATTACTCCAGTGACACTTATTTTTGAGAGATAATCTAGTTGAAATCTTAAAACAATTGTTTCATCATCAGTGTCATCCCCATCTAAAGATGTAACCTTGCCATATGAATAATACTAGACTATGTCACCTGGCAATCTATTCAGAACATGTTCAATTGATTTACTTGATGATAAAAGGTGGTTAACAGCACACCCTCTCGAATTGAATCAGCATTGACTTGAAAACCAAAGGTTCCAGTAATCAAATACTCACACAGCATTTCAGAGACATTCACACCAATTTAGCTCACCATTTCCAATACACAAATAGCCACTCTTCAAATGTTAGTGCTGTTGCTCGTATATGCTGTGTAAGACAAAAATAATTAATATTTGACCCTAATCCAAGGGTTTCTGCTGCACTGCATGTAATATGATCTTTTCTAACATATTTAATAATAGGTGGAATTTGCCTAAAATCCCCTTGAAATAAAATACATTTTTCACCAAATGAAAAATCAGATTATGGCAAAACTCAGAGAGTAATGTCAATCAAGCTTAAAGCAGCATCAAAAATCACGGAAGCCTCATACTCAATTATGAAATGAGTTTTTAAAGAATTCATTTTCATATTTTATCTAAATATGGGAGGAGTGAGTTGCTCTTTCATGGATGGCATTTTAATGGGTAGTCTGAAAACTCTGTGGGCAGTTCGACTAATATAGCTGTTATCCTGTCCAAGCAACACAAAATATGATGTCTCTTTGTTGCTGATGTTGGTATAAACATTTGCAAAGAAGTCTTTATGGTTCTTTCACTTTATCTTACTTATAATCATTCATTTTCAATCTGATCTAATAATAAAATGAATTTTTACAGATCGATGAATTTTATTTAATTTTGAAATGTTTTACTAAACTATACAATTATAAAATAATGTTATTTTAGAAAGAGTGATGGTTGTCTCTGAACATTATCAAAATGGATTACACAATAAGAAAAAGAAGTTTTCAGTGGACTCGTAAGTAAAATTATAGTCTGATTTTTTTTATTTGTGGATCTAAGACACTGCATTCAACATTGAAATTAAGTTTTTAAAAAAATACCTCTGCGTTGATATTTAAAAACAGTGTCTTGAAAATGTTTGGCTTCATGAATTTTGCTAAACATGAAGTTAATAAAGTATAATTTCAAACTAACAATTGTTCTAAATATTTTCAGAAGTTAAATTTTTTCCAGTCAATTGGGGAAAAAATGGGTAGAAAATATATGAATATATATTTTTAAAGAAAAGGTAGAATAATGTGAATTTTTCATATCCGCGATTAAATTATTTGTTGTAAAACTTCCACATTTTAGTGAAACTTTTCCATGTTTCCCTCCTTGCTCAATGATATTGATATCAGAGCAAACATTACGAAATAGGTTCATATCTTCAGAAAGTTTTTTGTAAACATCTGTTTTTTATAAATCCGCTATGATCACAAAATCATCATGTGTGGCTCAGGGGAAATGAATTCTCCGTATTGGATGTATGGTCAAATAGGCCGCACAGAGAGAGCGACTTTTATACACTGCCAACATTTAAACACAGATAGGTTGCGGCCGATCTACCAAAAATTACTGTACCTGTACACAAACACAATTACAGTGTCTCTGCTAAATGCAAATATGTCACACGCCACTGGATGGAAGAGGTGCCATGAAGAGTTTAATGATCATCTGATATCTTATTTGGGTACAAGCTTTACGTATTTTGTTCTTTTTTTTTTAAAAAAAAGAATCATTCCTCCCTCTAAATGTTTTCACCAGTATATTTACAATGAGTATAGTATGTAGAAAGTATTCATCACGAAAAGCTGAGATATTTATCATAATATTTATCACAGATATCATCCCAAAAGTTCTGTGTTGCAAACATTAGGAACTTTTTCAAGTATCCATTGTATAGAAAATAGATAATTTTTTCGCCAAGCTAAAGTTACTGTGTTCATTGCTATAAATAATTATTTTTTCAATTAATTGATTTTCCATCGAATTATTTCCTTGACACTTTCTTTAGAATATTTAAATTTGTCAAAAATGTATTGAGAAATATAAATGGAATTTATACTTATTATCTGCTATTCAAAATAATTGTCTTGTATAATAATTTCAATTAATTGAATTTCCATCGAATTATTTCCTTGACACTTTCTTTAGAATATTTAAATTTGTCAAAAATGTATTGAGAAATATAAATGGAATTTATACTTATTATCTGCTATTTAAAATAATTGTCATGTGTTTTGTTTATCTATTTCCTTTTCAGATGTAAAGATATTGCCCTTTTGTCATTTGAAATATTAGATGGATTGTCATATTTGCATAGTCAAGGTATGGTCCATAGATATCTATCTCCAAATAATATTCGATTTGATTGTGAGGTTAGTATGACTATGCTTTTCCATTAAATTTTTATGTCTTTTCCATTCATTTGTTAGTTTAAATTTTCCTTAGTTAATAAAGATAACTGTCGAATCCTATTAACAATATGAGGTTTTAACAAACTGAATAAAACTTATCATAACATACTAATAAAAAATTTTTTTTGGAGAGCTTTATTGGTTTAATATTTAGTTAATTGAATAAATATTATAAGGGTTACTTAGTGGTAATGCTAGACCACCAGAACATTTAAATTCTCTTAAATTTCTACTTAAAATAAAACATGGAGGGAACTTCTCATTCTCAAGGAATTATATGCATTTTTTATTTAAATTTAAAAAAAATAGCATTAATGTGTTTAAAGTGGCTCAATCTAACCATAATTTATATTGATTTACTTTTATTTATATTAGAATGTTTGACATTGTACTCAGCATCCACAAAACATGTATCACACACACAACAACACAGGAAAACGTACCTAGGCTAAAGTAAGATTAATAATATGAGGCTCACAGTATGCAGATCTTTAGATTAGTAATAACGTAAAATTTGAGAATAAAACTCAATAACATGAATTAAGGAATAAAGGGTATTTTGACTCTGAGGGAAGTTCTTAATCATTGAACAGAAACAATAGTTATATCCTTAAAGTATATTTTATCTTCATTTCTTAAAATATGTTTGTTTTTATTTCACCTTTGGTAGTGGTACTTCTTTCTAGTGGTACTAGAATTACTGCTTGTCTTATTCACCTTTTATCTGTTGTTTCTAGTTTTAAGTGATAAGTATTTTATTTTGATGGGCAAAGCCTAAGTTATTACTGATTATCATAATTAATTAACTACTCTTCTTACTTTATTACATACTCTGTGAGTCACTGATTTTTCATTTATTGTCATTCTTTTGATAAATTTTGTTTTAATATTCAGTAAAAAATTTTTTTATTTTCTTTTTAAGGGGCATGTAAAGCTGTCAAACTATGGGTTATATTACATGACTGAAAATGGATCCACAGTTTCTTTTCCAATAGGGTTAGTAGTGTTACATGTTTTGCTATTACTTTAATGAGTTTCACCTCATCAAGATTAATTTAATGAAGAAAATATTTTTCAAGGATTAATAGAACTGATTTATTTTCTATGTTAATGCTACTGTACTATTTAGAATTTTTATTTAGTAGTACAAGAAATACATTATATCAATATTCTGCAAATTGTAATATGGTTTCTAGTATAACACATCTAATTTTTGCTCTTACTGAACTATGTTGTTTATAACTAATGTATAAATCTAATACACTTCATGTTAGATCAGTTTATCTTATTTAAAGCTTTCCTGTGCCCTAAGATTTTTAAATTTATGAAATTTTTTTTTAAATTTTCACACTAAGAAATTTCATGATAGGTCCACATATTAGTCCTATTTTTTTGCATATGTTGAAAGAGCAATGCATTAACTTATTTAATTTTCACTTTCTGATTATTTTTAAAGTAAGCAGTTTTTGCTTTTTTTTTTAAAATTAACAGTATTTCTTTAATTAGTGAATTAATTCTTTATTGTGAAAGTATATTATCATTTCTCATATATAAAATTTACTGTTTATAATTTATCTCATTCCTTCTCACAACTGTGAAATTCTTCCTCAGGGATTGATTACTCCCTGATTCAGAGCCGGGTGTTTTATCAGAGAGTATTACTTCCCTCTAAATGTATTTATTTATGTTTTACATATATTATTTAATTTTCTGAAATATCTGAATATCTTTAATTACTCTTAAATTTTTAGATCCCCTAATTACATGGCTCCTGAAGTGCTGGCTCATGGTTTGTTTCCTTATCCATCGTCTCCAAAGTGCGATATTTGGTCACTTGGTATAATACTTCTGGAATTAATCTTGGTATTTTTATTAAATTATATGAATATAATTTGTTTTACACTGATTTATATATTTTTTTCTTTGGTTTTAATCAATGGGTAATTAAAATTTTTTAGTATTTTCTGACAGTTATTTTGTAAAATTTTTTATGTGATTAGCATAATACTCTAGAGCACCTGTTTTAGTTTTATTCTAAATATTATATTAACTAGCATTATATTATATTTTGGATCCATTTTTAAAGATTGTTATTTATTATGTCTCCTTATGTCCATTTAGTAGATATTGAATACAGGTTTATTAATGTCATGTTTATTAGATAACGTTTTATTCCTTTAATTAAATTCTTTGAGCAAAATTCACTCTTAATTGACTTTGCCACAAGCATTTAAAAGTAAATTTCATAAACTCATTGTTAATATTTTTTTTATATTTTAGGAAAATTCTTTGTTTGAAGGACTAACGTTAGATGAACTGTTAAAAGAAATAATACTTTTTACCAAACTTGGTAACTATTGATCTGTTTAATTTTTTTTTAAAAATTAGCTCTTTCAAGTTACTTTAGAGGGCAAGGCGATTTGAGCGATTTTCATTTATACTTCTGTTACTTTATTCATAAAGTTTTTATTGTATTGTTACTGTTTAGACAAGAAGAAATGAAATAGTGATTAGGAGCCATGTTGATTCAGGGGATAGAGCGTTTACCTTCCAATGAGGTGAACCAGATTTAAGTGTTTGCGATAGCTGGTCGATAAGAACTCTGCACCCGGCTCACACCGAACACAGTGCTGACAGAAAATATTCTCAGTGGTAGACGGATCATAGTTTACAGTCGCCTTGCCGTCAAGCTAACAGTGTTAGGTTTTCATAGTTTTCTTCACCATATAATGCATATGCGGGTTAAACCCATCAAAATGTCCTCCACGAAGTTAAATTTCTCCCAATACTTGAACTAGGAGTTCCCTTGTCTTCTGGATTGGGTTCTAAATTACAGGTCTATGGAGTTGTTAACCCAAAATTAGTAGTCGTAAACCCAAAATTGGGTTGGCTGTTCAATTACAGTTATAAAATTAATAGTGACAGACCTGCCAACTCTCCTGCTTTTGCCTCAAATCTTCGTCCTCCTGCCGTCAGGATGTTTTCTCCTGCTTTTTCCATTTAGTGCACGATAGAGAGAAAAAAGAAGAAAAAAGCGATCTTCCACATTTAGGATACAACCCCCATTTTTCCTTTGCCTCTTCACGTTGTATGAAATCATGATTACGTCATCTGATGTGGTAAATTTTGATTCTGACTCGGTCAGAATCAAAAAATCGATTCAGCTTTATTGATTGGTTCCCAAAACTAAAGAAATTGTTAATACTTTATGCAGTGGTGACCAACAGATTTTTTATTCTGCTGTCAGAAATTATTTTGTTAAATGTTGCAATTAAATATTTCAGAAATGAAATTTAAACTAATGCTGAAGTAGTTAATTTAGAAAATATTTCCAATGCTTCTTTTTCTAGTATTAAGTTTTTCATTGATAATTTTCCTGTGTTGGTAAAGGTTTTGGGTGAAAATGATACTCATTCATATCTCGATACTCTGGAATCGCAATTCTGTGTTCTTCAATGTGATGCAAATTCTCAAATGTCATTATCTACTGATAGGATAGGCATGAAGTGGTCAAAAGTAGGTTCTCTAAAGGGAAATGCTTATTCTGTGTTAGCTAAGTTTATGCATCCTGTGTTAACTATTCCACACAGCAATGCAACATGTGAAAGAATATTTAGCCATGTTACCAAAATACAAACTCAGTTTCGATCTTCATTAACAATGCAAAACTTAGGAAACTTGATGACAATTAAGGAAAATCAAAAAGAGTTATGCTTCCAAAGAGATTTTGATAATAATTTTTTAAATGATGCTAAATCAGCAACATCTGCAGTTTTAAAACAGTAGCAGTTAAAAGAAATAAATGTATAAAGTATTGTATTCATTATTGACATATTTTGAACCTCTTTCTAAATTTTAAAAAATCAAAAGATTTGTTTTAATATAATTCTTAAGAACCTTTTATTTTATACTAAGAACACATATCCTTTATACTAAGAACAGATATTCTTATTAGTCAGTGTCAGAATCTTATTGTGATCTATTTTATTAAATGTAAATAATATATTTTGGAATAAACTTCTTATAAGAAATGTGAATCAGATTTAATTTTCAATATTGCGCTATGTCGTGATGCAGAAAAAGTCTGCTGCTTTTTTATTTTCTAAGGTTGGTAGGTCTGTAGTGATTATTGATTTATTAATGAAAAATCAGAAATTGCTATTTACAAATGATACACAGTATTCTCCCTAAGCATTTTTAGAAGGGTGCCTCACCCTGCCTTCCCATTGATCCCTATAAATGCGCCATCTTTTCCTTTTTTGTAAAAATAAGCCGCTGTCCTTTAAAAACACTTTCTTCTTATTCATATTCTATTTTAAAAAATTAATTCACTGTTTAAATAAAAATTACTGGTAAAATTATCAGTGTTTATAGGTTTAATTTTGATTACTGTTATGAATATTTACTTGGCTAGAATAATTCTCAATTGGTTAAATTTTATAGGTTTCTCTTTTTTCCGGAGAGGGAGTATTATTAATGAATTTCTTTTAAGTGATTTTAATTTATTATTTTTTTTAAATACCTTTTTTTAAATTTCCAGTTTAAATTATAGAAAAAAATTTTCAAGTTTATTAATTAATCATTTTTTTCAGTTTACCTTTTTTTAATTAAGTAAACTGTTTACTTTTTTTTAATCAGTATCATCAGGTTTATCTTCAGATTGGTCTATTTAGTCATGAATAATGTTCTACAGTTGCTTTGGTTTTTATAATTTGTTAACATCTCATTTTTACTTGAAGATATTATAAAAATATTATATTTCTTTAATTTAAATATAATTTTCTTGGTAATGTTTTTTTTAAAAAAAATTAATAAAGAATCGAAGGATAAGGCATCGGTTGTTATGTTAAGATATCAAAAGTTATTTGACAGTTAGTTGAATTATTCAGCACTTGAAGTGAGACACTGAAGATGTATTGACTACAATTATATATTAAGATTTTTGGAAACTCTTCTTTTTAAAATTATTTAAAGAAAAGCATGGAAAGATATAAAAAAATTATTTCTGAATAACTTTTGAGGAAGCTTTTTTTATTTTCATTTATTTAGAAGATTATATTTTACTCTGTATTTATATAATTTTTTTTTTTGGATCAAACTAAAAAAAAATAAGGTTAGTCAATGCATAATTACATTTCCTTTTTACAAAAATTTATTTTGTTAATTACAGCTAGCACAATACATTCATTGTTTCTTAAACAAGTGTCATAAATTATAAATATAAGCGGAAAAGGCTCCCTCATACTTTCTATAATGTTTAACTACTTATTACTAAAGATGTATGTACTTGAGATTTTTGTATGTAAGAATTGAAGTAACGTTCTGATTTAATTGTTTATTCATCTACATTTTAAGAATGTTCTTTGATGAGTTAAACATTAAGAAAAATAGTACTGTATTGAGCACTGAAAATTCACAACTTTTAATAAGAATGATTTTCATGAAAATTGGTTTTATTTTTTATTCACTTTACTACTTAACAACTTATAAAATTATTTATTTGCTTCAACTTTTTTCTCTCTAGAAAATGGATCTGAAGTAATTGACAGGGTTTTGAAAAAACATGATTGCTCTTCACGTTTAGAGGTAAGCTCCATTATTAACTTTTAACATTGTGGTTTCAGAACCATAGCATATCAAAGTTTTACAACATCTAACATGAGATATAGTAGGTTGCTCAGTAACAGTGTTTTAAGTTGATTTTTTTATGGTTAATAATATAAAACTCTATTAAATCATTGTTTTTAGCTATTAGAGTAAATGTTGATCTTGGTTAGTTCATATTATCAGGACTCATCTATTTTTTAAATTTTTTTTTATCTCTATTTAAGTGAGCATAAAGCACTTTATTGTGTATGAATATTTGAATTTTTGATAGATATCCTTAAATAATTTACAAATTTACTGAAACAATTCATTAATTGCAATTTTTTAGATTTAATTGAAATAATGCAAATTACGTTAAATTTTTTTTTTTTTTAACTTTAGATATTTTTCCTCTTTTAGGCTGCATCTCCTAACTTAAAATCATTTATTGCTGATTGTTTAACACCAAATCCTAGTCAGAGGTAATTGTTTGTTATTTTATGCTTTTTTTTTTTTAACTCATATGCAGTTAATCTGAATTAATGTGAGTTACTGAGCAATGTTAGGTTTCTTGTATGTTTATTTCTTTGTTATTTTCTTTGCATTGCAAGTAATGTAAGATATATAGCTTATCAACTAACTTTAGATAAATATAAAAGAACTTAATATTTTGTGCTTACAGTAGAAAAATATACTGTGAAAAGATCTTTCCTATCATTACCCAAAAAAGATTTTTAATAATGACTTGCACATTTACATTTTTAGGAGAAAGCATTTATGGCACTAAAACAGAAAGTTTCATGATGTTAATAAGTACCTGAAGTATATTATTATTTAATAAATGTGAGGAAGTCTGGAACTCTCCTTCATTTGTTTTGAAATTTGTGTAATAGAAACACATTTTAGTTGGTAGAAAGTTTTTACTTAAAATGCTTATAAAAATTACCCTTGTATAATATATTTTCCATGTAATATGTTTCCATCTTGAAAAGCAACATCTTTTTGTTCACCCAAAAAATTAACAAATCAAGCAAAAATAATGGTTGGTTGCATTACCATTTTCTTCAAAATGGAATTTCAAGCGTTCAACATTGTTGGATGGTTAGTATTAAATTCCTTGATATACCCTATCTTAGACATTATTTATGACCAAGTTCATTGAGCATAGTATCAAAAAGGAAAGGTGGTTGATGTTGCATTAGAAGTAGTTTGCAAAAAAAGGAACATATGATCACATGAATAATTTATATCTAATGAGCAAATTTTCCTATATCAGCAAGCTATCTTTATGTTTCGAGATATAGACTTAGAATATGCTAAATAATTGGTGCAAATGATATTTAAACTACTAAACCAGACAAAAAAAATATACTTTCTTTGAATAAACCTTTTTTTTAAAAAAGGAATCAGGTATCTGAATCTCAAAATAAAGGGAGGGTTGCTGCTATTGGAAAAATACTGTCTCAATGCTTTAGTTACATAGTTAGGTTGCTAATTAAAATTTTGCTCCTCTTGTTAATTTCACTTTTTTGATATTTTGCCATATCTCTGCAATAATTAGAGTGAAACAAAAAACTTTTTTATACAATAAATCTCTTATCTAAATATTCATGCGAAGTTTCAATTTTTATTTTAATTTTTGATTAATACTTTTTGTATTGGAAGGAATACAAATTATTACTTCCTCAAAGTTTATGATTTGGTTGAGATTAGTAGTTTTTGAGCAATAGAACTTAAAAATTATACATAAAAAATTTTATTTATCGAAACTATTTGACACATCCTGTTCGTCGGATGAAAGTGGTATAAGTTACAACTGATCTTACTTAAATTTATCACAAAATCTGGGAATACAAGATGCAAACTTACTTCATCTCAAAATCACTTTTCAATAAAAGATTTATGTTGTAATTCTAATAACTGCAATATATATAATAAAAATAGGCTATATTTATGGGGATGTTATGAGGCAGTCTTAATATTTAAAGTTTTACATAATATTCAATTTTTTTTAAAAATCTATTGTGAATCTTGTGCGTATTTTTATCTATTTTTTTTACTTTTGCCCAAAAAATAACAATAAAAATTTATATTTTTATTTGTATTAACTAAGTTTAATTCTGCATTCTTTTTTTTTCTTTTTTTAATTCAAGTAAAATATATTTTTGTGACTAGTGTTTTATTTTTTAGACCAGATGCTCAGCAATTGTTACAACACTCTTTCTTTAATGAATTTGACTTCAAATATGTGAGAAGAAGAATGAATGCTCCTCTTTCATTTTTATCTACTCAGATGCGATGCAATGGTGTGAAGGATAAGAAACAGATTTTATCTTATTTGGGTAATTTTTCTCACTCATAAAAAAATATTTTTAGTCACATTTAAAATTATTTTCTGAATTAATTTTTTCTTTTTTAAAATGATTGATTTCCTGATGCAATTAATCTTACTCACATCAAAAATTTCAAAATTTAAATTTTTTTTGTAAATTGACAGAGTTTTACGCACTGGGAATATTGGGAAAACAAGAATCGGAGAGGAACTCGGGAAAAGGTAATTTTACACCGTATCAATATGTGGGATTTCACTCTTTCATTTTCAACTGAAATTTGCTTTTTTGCATTAAAGAATTTAGAAAGAAAAAAAATCAGATTTTTTATCCAGACTGACTGAAATTAATCCAGACTGAAGCGTATCCTCAAGATTCTATTATTCTTCTGCGTTTCTGGAGTTCTGTTAATTGAATGTTGGAGTTAGGAACTTAAGAATATTAACATGCTAGATTTTTTTCTTTGTTTTTAAATCCACTTTCGTTTCTCAATTTTCGTCATCCTTGGTTTATTATGTTTAATTGTTTTATAATTTCGGATAATACTTTAACTATTACAAACTAAACGTTATTTCTCCATCTGCTATATTTATTTATTTGACATCTGTTAAAGATGCAATAATTTTAATTTAATGAATTCTGATTCCTTTGAGGTACAGTATCTTTCCAAGTTTAGAAAGCGTTATTTTTAACTATTTATTCTATTTGACTTAATTTAATAAATATTGATTAATTTTAATTAAATATGAATTGTTTATGTACTTGTTAGTTTCTTTTTAGGATTGTTTGATAATTGCTTAAAATTTTTTTCTTTTTAAATACACATTTTGTAATAGTATAAATAGTTGCTTCTCATATAACAGTCACAATTAAAATATCAGGACATACTGTTGTTGTAAAACTTTCTTGATTAAATAGTACATTATAATTTCTTTATGATTATTTTATTATAAATTTTTATTATCTTTTAAAATTAAAATTAATGTGTAACTTTTGCGTGAGTGAATCTTCTTTATTTCTTTTTAAATGATTTCTTATTACGATTCGGTTTTGATGCATTTAATTTATATTTTGTCCTCAATATCATATTATGAATTTTTCTGTTTTCCATATTGCTTTAATAACTTTTAAAATTTTTTTAGTAATTTAAAAAAAAATATTAAAAATTTAAATAAAAAAGTCTTATGTAAAAATATTTACACTCATTTAGTTTGAGTAATGCAATAGATTCTAGACTTAAATTTACTTTGAAAATCTTTGGTTAAAAATATAGCAAATCTTTATTTTAAAAAAATCTTTAGGTTTTAATGCAACCTAAAAGTAAAGTAAGCAATATTTAGTAAGTTTTAATAAAAAATATTTTTCATAATTTTAAAATAAAAAAATACTTAAAACCCTTTTTAAAAGTTAAATAAATTAGAAATATTAACTATACAAAATTATTGTTTGCGAGAAAACACTTTTGGGTTAATAAATTTTAAATGTGGGAGGACAAAACTTTAAATTTAATTCATGCATTTAATTTGATGGACTTGTTTGAATAATATTAACCAGTTTAGTCTCTCCAACCAAACTGCCTGTCTTTACCTGTCATATAATCGTTGTAAATAAATCGAAAATCTATAGACCACTACAATCAGCATTCAGCCTGTAAAATTTATTATGAAACTCTACCTAGAAATAGAATTTTTTTTTGTACTGAAGATCGATACTCACTGTTCATAATTTTAGTAATTATACAAACTTACAATCTAATTATTATGCGCAGTAGTTTTAAGTGTAATTTATTGATTTTATCTAAATAATAATGAATATTAAAATTTTTGCAGTTTGTAAGCAAAAATTTTAATACTGATTAGCATAATACAAAGTGTAAGTTTGCCTTTATTCTTTTGCTGATCAGAGAGAATTTTGAATGTATAAAGAAGAGTCATTGTGAAGTCATCTTATGCATGTCCTGAATAGGGAGGTTCACTTTATCTTTAAAATGAAAAGTAGCAAATATGTGTTCTTTAAAGTAATCTTAAAACTAAAAATAGGTATTAAAAAAGTACATAATTTAATTTTCGAAATGATATTTCGGATATTACTGAAATTATTGTAAGAAAAAAAAATAAGATGATCTTGTAGAGCTAAAATATTTTGTCACTTTAGCACTGAGCATGCATTTCTTTAAATCACATAATGTCGTAACAGATTTTCTTGTTGATTTCGTATTTACGTTTCTCCAGTATTTTCGATCAACTGAAGAAATTCAAACTATATTTTTGTAAATAAAAATTTTTTTATTTTCAAAACGCTATTGCTTGAGTACAAAGTAAATTTTATAATAAATTTGTGACATTGTAATGTCTTTTATCTGAACTCTATATGGAAGTTTTTGAATATTAATATATTTTTTTTTAACACTGAAAAAAAATTCTTTATTTAAAACATGTTGTTTGTTATTTTCAAATATGCAGAAAAACTAGAAAAAAAATATTATCATATAATTGACGTATATTTATACTTGTTTATTACTGTTATTTAATTGTCTGAATCAATATTTTACTTTTTTGACTATATTAAATTTTTACACTTGATAATGACATGTTTTACAAATGTAAAAATAATGTAAGTTCAAAATAATAGATCTACATATTGCAATTAATCAATTCAATATGAAAATTGCAGAAAACATTTTACTTATCATTACATTACCAATCATAACAAGAACTCATATTAAAATTTTTATTTTTAATAAATGCTAGTTATTAACATAATTATTTACGAATTAGCTTAAACTTTAATCTTTTTTAGATGATCATTTATGCCAAAGACCCTTGCATGAGGTGTACTATTTATGGCGGTTAGCAGGAGGAGATTTAGAGTCTGAACTACGTAGGCAGGAATTAATCAGAGCTAAACCACCTGTATTGAATGTTTCTAAGTATGAATGTATACTTGTGTGTATTTATTTGCATTATAGTTACCAGCTCCTTTGAGAAATGTTTATAATAGAAATTATTGTTTAGTATAATTTTAGTCTATTCCTTTTGACCTACTTTCTATTGGAATTTATGATTTCTCATAATTTGATTAATAGCATAGAATCCACAATTTTATGTGTGTATATTTTAGAGTACATAAATATGATTCTGAATGTTTTACTTGTGTCACTGAATTAAACTTGTAAACTACTATTTCTGAATTGATAGTGTACTAAATTTCTTTTTATCTGACAAATGCAGTTAAAATCTGTAAAATATGAATCTTCAGTTCTATCAGCTTATGAAATTAAAAATATAGTATAACATATTAAATCAGGTTACCATACTTATTAAAAGTTATATTACTATTCAAAATACAGTATAAATATTTTTAAAATTATCACATAGGTTTTACCCTTGAATTTTATAGAATTTATAATCTATTTAGTTGCTATGTATAATTTCAATAATCATTAAACTCTGGGTTTGCTCTTAATTTTTTATAATAGTAAATTAATTTGCTTACGCAATTATTGTATGTTAGTCAATGGCAGATTTTTTTTTTATAATTTATTTTCATGAAAAATTACTGAAATTCTTTTTAAATAAGGTAATGCAAATGCAGAGCGTACTGATCAAAAAAGAGTATCAGGGACAAAGTTTAATCGTCACTTCATCCAATAACCTCCCCTTGCTAAGTATATCATATTAGTAGGAAATGTGACTAATTTAAATTGAGTAACTGTGAGGAATCTAAATTTATTAGTCTGAAACAAAATATGACAAAAATTGCATTTTTGTAAAAAGTTTGAGTATTTCTACTACCAATATTTTATGATTTATTAATTTGTTTCAAAATTACTGAATATAAAACTCATGAAATAGGAATTTTTAAATAGTTCAAAATTAATAATAAACGAATTAAAGTGTACTTAATGCTTGCATAGGGTCGGCACAGGTAAAATGTTATACATGGATGATATTTTTTTAATGTTAAGTGAATTTTCAAAATTAAATTTTTGCCCTGATTAATTCTTTTAATTTAGAGTTTTATACAGTTGATAAAGACATGTTTTTTTAGAAATGTGAATTGCATTTATTAATATCTAGCTGACTAAAGTTAAAAATTAAAGTTAAATTAAAATTGGTATCAAAACAAAAAAATATATTAAGGATAAAATCAAGGTATTTAAGATGAGAAGTTTCTAGTGTGGGATAGTGAAAAGCCGCGGAACGAAAATTTAAAAGTAGTAAAAGAATAGTAAATAAGTTTAAAGACCAGTTTCTTGTTTTAAAATACTTAAAAATTTAAAAAATAATTTCAAAAGCACTTGTCCTGGTAAATATTTTGTAGTACTTATTTTTTAAGGTGCGTATATACCTTGCAAAAAGTGGCTTATGTTATGCTATAAACCCTTCATATATTGTGAATCAACAAAAAGATTCTTCAAAAATAATTTATATGCATTGTGAAAAAAGTTATTAAAGTGAAAAAAGTTATTAAAGAAATGAAAAAAATATACAAGGATTAAAAATAATTAAAGTGTAAAAAATACATATTGTGAAAAGAATAAAACAGAAACATAAAACTTAAAAACTATCGGACATCAAAACAAATTGTGTATCTCTTTTCCCCCTTTCATTTTTAATATTTTTCAATTGCTACAAGAGTAATTTACAATTTATTTAAATTTATTTTTGATTGCAAATAAGTTAATTCTGTAGTAAAAGAACAAAACAAAAAAAAACATGCTACAAAAAAAATTGGTATTCTCGATCCCAAGTGGAAGAAATGTAAGGTACTCTTTTCAACAAAGAAATATCAAGTTATTAATTAAAAATTTAAATAGTTTGTAATTTCAGTCTAACTTAAATTATAGTATTATTTCCAGATGATTTAAAAAAATATTTTTAAATTAGTTAATAAAAATGCAAGAATTGGAAAGAAAAAGAAATTTAATGAATTTCTTAAGAAATTAAAATGACTATTTTCTTTCCATGTTATACATAATATTAACTAAACTTTATATTATATTATATTATATTTTAAAACTACATAATCAAAATATATATTATTGCATAATATTTACAAATTACACATTATATTCTTAATTACAAATAGCTTAAACATATTTTTTATTGTAAACTTATTTTTTTATCTTATCCAATTTTTCATCTTAAACGTATATTATTTTAGTTTTATATGTCATTATAGGTTGGCAAAATTTAAAGTAGATGTATATATTTTTTGCTTGTTTTTTCCTCTACAGCATTTTTTGTTACGTTACTGTACTTTACAAATGCTGTATAATATTTTATTTAGAATAATATCTGGAGAAGGGGAAGAGTTTGGTCATGAAAAAGATCAAGCATTTTTATTGGATGATTCAATATTGATTCTACCTCTTGAGCCTCTAAAACATGTAAGATTTTACAAATTTTTATTAACAAATTAAATTATTATGTTTTATGTTTTTAGAGAAAATTAGTTTTTAAGAATTTAGTTTTTGTTAAAAATGTTTTTAATCAGTCATTTATGGAATTTTAGCTGGCGTGTTATAATTTTAAGTTCTTTTGCTATTTGCATTTAATTAAATTCGTATGATTTAAATGTTCTAAAATTTTATTAAATTAAAAACCAAATTAAGTTTGAATTAATTGTTCTCAATCTAAAATTATTTATCTGCATAGATCGCAATGATCAAATTCCTCTTTGTATAAATTCAGAAGAAATGTATAAATTCAGATTTGTATAAATTTACATTTTTAACTTATTCTTCATAGCAAATTCACTAAAGTTTTCATTCTAGCAATGAATGCACCTTTCAGGTTTTAAATACAATTATTTAGGATTTCTTGTTTAGGATTATGCTTGTTTAAAAGAAATTGATGATGGAATCGTCACAATATAAGCTCATAAAAAATTTATTGCATAAATTTGCATATTGTCGTATCATGTTAAAAAATAAAGAAATTCTAAAAAAGTATATGCAGAAAGGTCTTAGAAAACATGAATAAATAACATGGATTTACGATTAAATTGTAAATCAATGACATCAAAAAGTGATAATTCAAATTCTTAGGGCTAGCAATTCTATCACGGAAAAAAAACACCACTATGAAATCTGAAGAGGATCTTGATTGATAAAAAAAAAGACATTTAATACCCAGTCATTCTTAATATTTTTGGTGCATTCAAACTAATTTATGATTTTAGGAAATTATTACTAACTGTTAACTGATATACCTATTTGTTTACAAATTTTTTTAGAGATTAAGGGATGTGGATAATGATATTTATTACCCTCTTACTGAATATTCGTGAGTATAAAATTTAACTATTATTAAAATTATGCAAATGAATTTTTTTTGAGTGACAATAGTTTTTAGTTTTAAAAAAATATAAATACAAATGCTTGAAATCATTTGAAATTCGCTAGTAATAGTTTTAACGCTAGAAGATAATAATTAACTCTTGTTTTTTTTATTTTATCTCTTTCTCTTCCATTCTGGAATTAATGCACAGTAAAAAAAAAGTAAATAAATACATAAAAATAAATAAGTTAAACACCTTGAATAAATTTAGATCTAATGATCAGATTTTCTCGTATTGGGACTCAGCGGTTCACGGGGATGCCTCAAATATGGTACTTAATTAGTGTAGACAATATTTTATACTACAAAATCAGACATAAAATGCACTTTCTCTGAATAAACATACCTTTTTTTGTTGTTGCATGATTCGGATTTCTGACCCCCAAAATATGGAGGGCAGCCGCCATCTGGAGAATATGCTCCCAATAATTTAGGTAAAAGAGCTATTCAAAATTTTAACCCCCTAATGTTAATTTAACATTTTGTGCATTTTGCTGTATCTCAATAAATTTTTAGGCTAATTTAAAACTTATTGCACACAATTATACAATTTGTTTATCAAAAGATAATTTCATGCTAAAAATCATTTTTAATAATTATTTATTATTTTATTTTATAATAGGCGAGAAAATTTTAAATTCTAAGGTATAAAAATTTTTCCATCATTTTAAAAAATGTATTCCTGAAAAATTCACATCTTTAAAATCTAATTTTTTATGAACTATTCGACCAATTTTGTTCAAATTTTAAATTTCACTATTTAAAATGTGTAATTACAATAATTTTTTTTAAAACTTTACCTTGGAATTCAAATTTTTCCAAATACAGTAAAACCTCGCTACAACAATATTTTTGGGTCCAAATAAATATATTGTTGTAGAGGGATATATTGTTACATCGAGGGGCAACATACTTTGGGGACAAAATAGGATTTTTTAAAAATTTTAATGTTGTGTATGTATTAGTTATAAATGTATATATTTTATAAAAAATTAATTTTCAGAGTGTTAGTTATGGCCAAATATTAAAAACAATTGAAATAAAATAAGATTGCAAACACACCAGAAAACCGGTCAGCAGTGAATCTTCTCTTGTCAGAAAAAAAAATGGAAAAATGGCAAAAGAAGATAAAATAAGATTTTTTACATTATTTAAAAACCAATTATAAATGGAGAAAATAAGGTTGAAATTTGGAAGAAAAAAATCGTTTTACAGGGGTTTATTGCTTCAAAGAATATCGTAATATTGAGAGGAGGATGGCATTAATTCATATGAAAGTTCTTCGGGACCACGAAACATTATCGTAATAGAGGGAGTTATTGTTGTATCGGATATCGTAATAGCGAGAGCTCACTGTATAATTAAATACAGTAATAAATAATTATTTAAAGAAACACTTTAACATATAATTATTTTTGAATAAACAGCTTTTATAATTGTGTGCAAAATTTTTCAAATTGCTTAAAAAGTTCTCGAGATTTAACGAAGTATACAAAAAAATAAATTGTCATAAATTGGCCCAAATTTTTAACTGCTGTCCTACCACCTACTTCTATCTATAGAGACTAAATTTTCCAGCTTATTTATTCTCCCAGATTTTTTGAGGGTCCGAAATCCAAATCTGACAAAAAAATTTATGTTAATTCCAAAAAAGTATGTTTTTATCTATAAGTTTATAACTTAAAATATTGTATGGACTAATTAGTATACATATTTGAGGTTACACCCATGAATTACGCTAATATTAACCAATCATTAGATTAAAAGTTATTTAGGATGTTTTATTTATTTATTTTTTGCACGCTGTCCTCAAAATTTGGTACAATTAGTAGTTTGAAAAAGGTAAAAAGAACATGTGAAGTTATTTTAAAATTAGTATAACTATTTGGGATTCAATTTACGTATTATCCAAAATGTTTTGCTCCAAAAATTTAGTTAGCCAGTTTAAAATATTGTATGATTACTTCAATAGAAGTAAGATTATTCAAGCTTAATTATTTTTGCTTTTATATTAAAAACTTCTTTTACTTTTCAATTGAGCTTAACTTATGATACTTTAACTTTTAGACCCATTATTTTTGTATTAAACATTTCATTTATTAATTGTAAGTCTGTGTAATTATAAATCTGAGTTTGGGCAGTAGGATAGAAAGTTTGATAAAAAAAATTCTTGTAGCACAAATGTTAATTTGAAATGTGTCAAATATTAACCTTAAAAACTGTTTCTGGTGTAACTAAAAGGATAAGGGCATTTTTGTAAATACAAATAAGAAGTTTGGATAAAAATGCTTTAGAATTTTATTAACAGTAATTTTAATTTTATATTATTACTTTAGTTTGAATGGCATTACTCTTGCATCATGTCTTTCAACACTTAAAGAAACATCAAAGCTTCCTATTATCATTAAAGAAAAAGATGTTGAGTACCAGGTAATAATAAACACTTTGTTTGATGCTATGTTTAAAGTTTTTATTTTCCTAGAATTATAGATTTGAAAAAGTTTGAAGTAAATATTTCTGTTTTGAAATATCTTCTATTTTCAAGATAGGAATTAGCTGATTACCCATTTTTATGTTGTGCTGTGCCTTAGAATAAGTTATAGTTATTGGTACAATATACAATACATAATATGCCCTAAATGTTTGCATCAAAGATGTATCTCACTCACTTTTTTAACAGTAACAGTATTTATAATTTGCAAATCAGATATAAATCTGTCGCCTTTTGTAGTAAACTCAATGTTAGGTCTCTCCACGTAGCTCACATACTTATATTGGATATTTCACTCCAAAATTGTTTTTTATAATGTAACTTGTTATTTATAAAACAATTTAATGTTACTTTGATATAGTTTCGTTTATTCACATATATAATAACATAATATACAGTAGAGTCCCGATTATCCGAGTTAATGTGGACCACGACTAACTCGGATAACTGAAAAACTCGGTTAAAACGAAGAGTATAAAAAAAGAAAGAAAAAGAGTTGGTATAAATGTAATATATTTAAGAAATATGAAATTTATACGAGTATACCACATACAATTCCTATTATTATTAAAAAACTTACTTGAAAAAACTTAAAAAGTATACTTTGTGAGAATTAAAGAGTTTTTACTTAAAAAAAGTCCTTAATCGTTTTTTGTTTTACATAACTTTGGTGCTTTTCTGCAGCAATGTTTCACCATTTTTTAGGGATAACAGGAAGTCTGGTGTCGCCTCTTTTTGTTGTTCTATGTATTCAGTAGCATTTTCGACAGCTTTAAGTTCATCTGCGTGAGAGATTTTTATATATTGATTTTCATCGTCACTGTCTTCATCATCTTCGCTAGGTTCATTTTCATTATTGACGATATTAACGATCATTTCATGGGATCAAGTTGTTAGATTTTGTTTTCCCGAGTGTTTGGAAGATAAAATTCAGATTTATTTTTGGCGGCATTTTTAAAAATAAAAAATAAACTAGAACAAAAAAGTCCTTAAAATATTTGATAGCTCGGTTAAAGCGGAAACTCGGATAACCGGGGCTCGGATTATCGGGACTCTTCTGTATTAATGTCTGAAGAATTAAGAAACCAATATTCATCAGGGATGTTTATTATTCTCCATTTCTGGTCATGTTTGCTCAACTTATCTTTCTGTCCTTACAATAATTGTTCTGAATTGCATTTTAAAAAGTATGTTTTTGTGCCCAATTTTATATAAATCATGAATTTTTATAAATTTAACAATTTCTTAACTATATTCTATTGAATTCAAAACTAGGTCGTGTTTTGTTTATTTTTTCCTTCAAAATTAAAATCAATTTTAATCTAATGATCAAATATTCACATACTAAAATGTGAGTTTAATAGTTCAAGGGCCTAATTTTAACTTTGTTAATTAATGAGTACAGAAGATATTTAAAACTGCAGAACCACACACGAAAAACAGGCTTTTCTAAATAAAATTTGAGGAGTTGCTGCAATCTGAAAAATATAATTAGGACTTCTTGTTTTGAAACTGTCTGCTTCAGTTCAGTTTTATTATTTTTTTCAGTAGTATTGCCAAGGAACTTAAATGTTGAAGAATATGCAAAACTTTTTAATTCATGAAATTATTTTTTACAGCTTATGTGACAGGTATTAAAGAAAAGAGAGCCATCTTTGAGCTAAATTAACCAACCTTAATTTTTTTTTTTATGCATATATATATTGTCATTGTAGCTTTGGTTTTTCTTTATCTTGATTTCTGATGATCTTCATTCAAACACCTCTGAGTCCTTAGCAATTTTTATAATGCATAGATTATAGTTTAGTTTTACATTATCTGTTACATTATTTCTTGATAAATTGATTTTTTTACTGAAAATTTACACACTTACAATATATTGCTAGAAGTTGCTGTTTTGTTGAATGCTATCCAGATGATTGACTGGTTAATGCATATGTTTAAATTTAATTATATTTCTCTCTGATTGCTTGCCTTAACTTTAACTATTCATAGAACTCTCAGAAAAATTAAGTTTCAGTTATTGTGTTTAGATAAGGAGGAAAAATTCCTTTTAAATTTAAGGCTTCTGTTTTGATTTTTAGTTTGATGTCAGTTGTTATGAAATTTAAATCTTTTTTCCCCAATCGTTAATTTATTAATGAATACACAGCATTGTGAATGGATCTGGTCCTGTCATAATCTTTGTGCTTAAAAACGTTAGTTTCTTCTTTGCAAAAGGAAACACTTTTAGTTCATTTTCAAAAAGAGGTTTAACACTGAATTTTATTAAAAAAGAAACATAAGTTAATTGTTTTGCCTGAATAAATTTTTATTATAAATTATTTAAGCAAGTTTAGTTTAGCAAATTTATTTTAATTTAGCTTCATCGTATAGTTCTTTTTAAAAAGCTACTTGAAGGATATCCATATAAGAGGACTCAAATGCTTCAAGAAGCTAAGATTGATGTACCCCCTTTGTATCGTCCTTGGATTTGGGCCACTCTCTTGGACATTGAGGTGGTATATTTGTCATATTACTTTCATATATTTAATGTATTTGCTATGTTACATTTTCAACTTTATTTGTTTGTCTTATTTGTTTACAAAAATATAAGTGAGAAACAGATTATCGTTTTCTTGACATTTTATTCTTACAGTTTTAAAGATGCATAAACTATTTCGCTGAATTGCTATTGAAAGAACATTAATTTTAAATGATGAATAACATAATTTATTATACTTCATTTTCAAAAGAAATTGCTTTACATTTATTTTCAAATTGTTCATTTTAAAGTTTCAAATAAAAAATTTATGTTTTTAGTATTATGCAATTGTAAATTAAAACCAAATAAGCATAAAGCATTATACTTAACTGGTTTAAAATTTAATTTAAATTTAATGTTTTCAATAATAAAAGCTTGTTTTCAGTAAAAATATATTGGTAAATAAATTGAGGAAAAATTACAAAAATAGCAATCTCCCAAAAATTGCCAATCCTAATCAAATCTGAATATGTTATCAAATACGAGTTGCTGAGTAAAATTTCAAAATGTAAATTAGTGGCGCTGTGAGGGAATGATATCATCTGCAATGAGCATAAAATTGTATGTGTGATCGCAAGCCTGTGAATTCTACTATGTTTCTGAAATTAAAAATTTGAGATAGCTAATTTGTAACAATGATCTTCAGGTATCATTTGTCTGAAGAATTGCTATGGAGATCTGTTGGAAGAAAGGTAGGACAAAGTGAGATAGAATTGGTCAGATGGCTAAATGTGAGTCTTTTTGTGGTTCATAGACTTTGGCAACAATTTCTAACCAAAGGTTAGGCATTTAAAAAGTTCAGTCGAGGAAGACCAAATTCTATGATGATCGCCGGTGACCAATATTTATTGCTATGTGCACAAAGAATTAAAACTACAACTGTGAGTCAGCCCAGATCCAATCTTAGGGCAGACACCGGAAGATTGATGTCAGCGTTTGCAATGCGTAGAAGGCTTCATAAACATGGTTGGTTCGCTATGCGACCAGTAATTTGGTTGCCACACTCATAAGGGAACATTGGAGCTGAGCATAGCAACATGTTTGCATGCCTGACCAATGGAGGGCTGTTGAGTTCAGCTTCTCTGATGAGTTTAGATTTAGCCTCTTATGGGATAGTAACATTGTTTGATTTGGAGAGAACCTGGAACCCAATATCATCCATGAAATATCCTTGAATGAAATTCATACCAAGAAGACAGTATCTGTGTGTGGGGTAGTATCTCTTTGGGTGGATACACAGACCTGCATATCTTTACGCTTGGAACTATGAATGGTCACATGTATATATATAACATCCTTGTGTGTCCTTATGCTGGTACAATAAGTGATTATTTTGTGCTACAGGACAATAAAGCAACACTGTGTAGGGCTTGCATTGTGGATGATTACTTTCATAAGCAAATAATTCAGCACATAAGTGGCCAGCTCGATCACCAGACTTGAATCTTTTTGAGCATTTTTGGGGTGCTTTAGGAAGAGATGTAGCTGCTCTCAATCCTCCTTCTCAAACCCTTGCCACACTTGGCAACTGATAGACTGCATAATTGAAAACATCACACATAACTGTATTGCTGCTAAAGGTGATAATACTTCATACTAAATGTGCTTTTTCTATTCTAAACTGACATATCTGATTTATTCATTTCATTTTGTAATTTTTTAAGTTATGGTCATTTTTGTGATTTTTCCTTCATTTATGATAATTATGATTTTTATTTCTTTGTTATATAGGGTGATATTCAAAGCATATATGATAGTATAGATAAAGAAACTCCAACACCAACTGACCGCCAGGTAGCTAAAAAAAAATCTTATTTTTTATGGAATAATACTGTTAAGTACTGTATCACTATGCTATTTTAAATGTTTTCATTTTCTAGATTGAAGTTGATATCCCTCGATGCCATCAATATGATGAATTGCTATCTTCTCCTGCAGGGCATCTAAAATTTAAGCGAATTCTTAAAGCATGGGTTGTGAGCCACCCTCAGTATGTATACTGGCAAGGACTGGATTCTTTGTGTGCACCATTTTTGGCATTAAATTTCAATAATGAAGGTAATTTAATTTCAAAATTTGCATTTTTTATTTCTTCTGAAGATATTGTGTAAAATATGTACAAGGAAAACACGGAGATTTTTCCCCCTCTAGATTTGAGTGACAACCCTGTTGCATTTAAAGGCATTAAAAAAAATTTTTCAGAAAATTTAAAGAACATGGATTAAAATTAAATTTATCTAAAAGCAAATTTTTCTTAAATAAATGAAATAAATTTTTTTTGGGGCACAAAATTGATGCAAAGATATTGTACAAAATCGATGAGAAAATTCAGCAATAGTTAATACACTAGTTCCGAACAGTATTTAGTTTTAAAAGTTTTTTAGGTGTAGTGAATTTTTATGACTGGTTTTATTTAAATCTTTCTACAGTTGCTAATCCTTTAAATAAGATAGCTCGTTAACTCAAAGAGTTGAATGGGAGTGGTAAAAAAAAGTGGCAAAATTCATTTGAAAGTATAACTTATATATAAAGGGGGAAAAAAGAGATTTATTCGAAGCAAGTATTAATTGATTGTGACCTGTCAGTACCCTTAACATTAGCTTCGGATGTGTCCCCTGTTGAAATTGGACCAGTTCTTTACATGTTTAACCTGATAGAACTAAGAGAACCACAGCATTTGCATCCAGAACTTTATCAAATACAGAAAAGAATCAGTCACAGGTTGATAAAGAAACTCTTTTTATCATTTAGGCTGTGAAAAATTCCATCTTTATTTAAAGGGTTGGCGATTTACCCTTATTGCAGACCTTAAGGCGCTAGTAACCATGTTTAGTTGCAAAAAAGCCTTCTCATTCTGACTGCTATGAAATGACTGCAATCATTTTGCAGATTTGATTAGTATATTGGGGCACTCAGCATCATGGAAATGCAGACTTTTCGTCCAGGCTCCCAGTTGAATCAGAACCATTAGAACTCAAAGGTAAAACAACTCTTTTTCCAGCTCAGTTATCTTAAATAGAGGCTTTGTATTAGGATCCTTAAAGATTTGGCGAAAGCTACTTTGACTGACGAAGAGTTAAGTCCAATTCTAGACTCTCTAAAAAGAGGTTGTGATTTTAAAGGGAAAGGAGGTAATTTAGAAAAGTACCCTCTAGAAGGAAATCACATACTTTATGGTTCAAGGGTTTGTGTTCCGAATAAATTTCAAAGGCAACTTTTACAATAACTCCATGCGGGACACTTGGAGTGGTTAAATTGAATGCCATTATTCATATGTGTACTGAAACAATATTGACAAAGATAGTTTCTGAAGAATTTGAACAATTCTTAAGATTAAATAGAATTAGGCACAAAACTTGTGCTCCATATAAACTGTCAGAAAAATATGTGTTCACTGTGAAGCAATCACTATATGCAGTAAAAACTATCCTAAAACCATATGTCAAAAACTCACATTTTTCGTTGCATTATAGAAAAGCACCAAATGTTACAATGTTAGAAAGTCCTGTCTGTCTTTTTTATTTAAATTTATTCTTTAACATAACTTCAATTTTTTTAAAATTCTATCACTATTTTTATTCTTTTAAAGGAAGGCTTATTAAAATGATAGTTACTTAAAATGTCTTTATATTTTACAAATAATTNTTAATTAAGATTAAGACACAAAATTATCATCTATGCGAAAAAGCACTTTAAAGTCAGACTGCTGAGCAAGTTTCTGTATTAGAACAATTTAAAATCATTCATAACTTTTTTAAAAATGTAGATAGAGAGATGAATTTTTTTCTATACATCTGAAATACTTTGAAGTTTTATTATAAGCAATAAAAAAAAATTTGGTATTTTTGTCATTTTTTGGGTACTGTGACCCCTTAACATAACTTCAATTTTTTTAAAATTCTATCACTATTTTTATTCTTTTAAAGGAAGGCTTATTAAAATGATAGTTACTTAAAATGTCTTTATATTTTACAAATAATTGTGATAATTTTTTGAAGAGACAACTCTTAAAATCAAGTTAAAAATTTTTCTCCTTATCAAATATTTATTTATCTTTTTTTCTTACATTTTCTTTTATGTTGATTGAATGATTTTTTTTTCAGCATTAGCATATGCTTGTTTTGCATCATTCATTCCCAAGTATTTGTATAATTTCTTCCTGAAAGATAATTCTGCTGTTATTCAAGGTATTTTGATATTTCTATTAACTAAAGCATCTATATATCTATATTAGATGTTATAGTATAACTAGTGCTATTATGCTTTAGCTATATTATGTATACTTTGTACATTTACACTATATATGTAGACGAAAGCAAAGAGAAACGTGAATAAAGCACAAATGAAAGTACAGTCAATTTTAATTTAATTTGTTGAACCCTGGGGTTTCCACCAAATCCCTTCACACCTGTTTCTTATCCCCCTTGTTATATCCTTTTTAGAATTTGTTCCTATTGGTTAATTTTTTATGCACTATGCAGCCATTTGTGTTCCATCCTTAGCAATTGTCCAGCAGTGTATATCCATTTTTTGTAATTTCATTTGTGCTTTATTCATTTTATTCTTTGTGTTATTCTACGTGGCACAAAGTATACCCTATTCTTTGTTGGATACTATGTATGTGTTATAGAACTAATGTACGCATAACAATTTGAATAGGGAGCCTCTTTTTACATCTATTCCATCAGTTTGAGTGTCAAAGATAAGATAACATTTTATATAATTTAGAAATAGTGGTAAAGAAATTTTCAAGCAAATGCTTATCAAAACCATCCTGAATAACTAAATCTTATGACCTTACAGAGACTTTTCAGTATTATTTCTTTATTTTATATTTAAGTAGTTATTTATCTATTTTATACTGCAAATAAATAGTCTCTTTAAATAAATAGTTCTAGAAGAGAATATACAAGTCGAATAAAATATGTCATTTATTGAAGAAGTTACAATGAGTCCCATTTTTAATAAAAAATTTGTGCTGTTATCATATCTCTTCCATAATAGTAGCAATAGCATTTCCCCCCCGTATCGCAAAAATGATTACTACCGCCAAGAACCACACACTCAATTTCAGAGTGTTCAAAAATTTCGCATTTGTTTGTTGTTTTTTTTTTACTAGTTCACAATTGTTTATAGAAATTTCTTAATTGCAAATTTCATTGTTTACACACCCAAAGCTAGTCTGGTTAATAGAGAATTGTGATTTATAGAATTCCATTATGCAGATCTTCTGTATCTTATCTTGTCTTTTTTGTTATTTACTGAATTTTATAGTTCATTCTTAAAGTAAAGTTTTATTTCTTTTTAGAGCTATTATTTTTTATTTCTTTTGAGAAAATATTTATTTTTGATTTTTTTACAGAGTACCTTGCTAAATTTTCCCATCTAATCGCATTTCATGATCCTGAGTTAACAAATCATCTGGATAGCATTGCATTCATACCTGAGGTGAATTATTCTCCTATTCTAAATGTTATTTTGGAATAGTTCGGTAATTTTAAGTGTTAAAATCCATTATTCGTGGTTGGTTTATAATTGATGTATTAATAATTTTCTGGTATTTTCAAAAAAGTAAAGGCTTTTATCAGAGGTTTTTCTCTACTGATTTATTTATTAAGCCAACTCATTGGTTTAAGCAACTAAGAAGAAATAAAAAGCTATATAAATGTATAAGTCTACACTTCTTAATACAGACACAATAGATAGTTAACGAAATTTATACTTAATTTTCAAGTGCAACTTCTCGTAATCCCAGTTTGTAAAAAAGCCATGTTTTGAGCATATTTGAAAATACAATGTGCTATTTTCGGTACTAAAACTTCAAACAGTTTTTTTAAGAATAATAATAGTAATTTAAAGATGCATGAAATATTCTTATGTAACCTCTTGTTTAAACAATTGCCTCTCTTTTTTTTATGCAAGAAATTTCTGAAATCAAAAATTCTTTCTTCAAAAAAAATAAGCATGAATGCAAAGTGTATAAAATATCTTCAAAGGATTAGAAAAAATAGTGTTCATTCTATTTTTGTTTACTTATAGAACAATATTAGGAAAATGTTCAAAGATGATAATTTTATTTTGATTGTTATTAAATAAATAACAAAGTTATATTTATTTTTTAGTTGTATGCAATACCATGGTTTCTCACTATGTATACACGTGAGTATTACGAAATTCAATATTTTGATTTAAATAGAGATATTTTCGGATTTTCTGCAAGATTTTCCCTACCAGAAAGACTGATTGCCCATGGAGTGAACTACACACTTTTCTCTTGCGACTCAACAAAGAGTCACGTAATAAAATATACTAAGCTTTCATTAAAATCCTGTGTCTGTTTTCCTGCTTGGTCCGACTGCATCATTTTACATATATATATGTGTATGTATATATATAATAAATAACATNTCTTAAACTTATCTTACACCATATCTATATATATTATAAGAAGAGAGTGAAATGATAACATGTAGCCAATCACAGAAGGCTTGCGGTTAGTAACGCACAAAGCAGCCAATCAAAATTGAGAATGCATGCGTGGTAATAATTTTTAATAATGCTGCCTGCTGAAATGTTACAACTAAACTTACTAGCTATAGCTTATTGTGATTTTTATTTTGTTTTGAGTATGTCTAATGACAACGTGACAGTTATCTATTGTTGTCCGAGCATTTTTATTGGCCGGAAAATCACGTGGTAGGATCCAGTTTTTCCTAATTCATTTCCATATTGTTTTAGTTGTCATCAGCATAAAATTAATAAAAGTTGTAAAAGTTTTGTTTTTCTATAAGTATTTGTGTATCTCTAATTTAAATTTATTTTCCTTTACTGCTATTATTAAGCTTTGAATTCTAGAGTTTAAAACTAAGAGAATTAATTTATTTTATTTTATTATTATTATAATGTAATTATGCGGTACATTTTAAGATAAAGTTGTTTAGAAAGGTGGTCTAATATTATTAACCATTTTACAATAATTATTTTTGTGCAAAAAACATTATATACTGTTATAAATTACAGTTAAAGAGATCTGTTAAATGATTTAAAACTTAATGATCAACTTCACGTACGATGAGAAGCAAGCAAAAATTGTATTTAATTTATCCGCCTCTTTGGTAAGCGAAAATATTAAATTATGGTTTTGAACTCATCAAAATTGTTTGAACAATATAATGTTAGAACAATATAAATGTTATTTTAAAAAATGATTACTTAGAAAAAATAGATAATAATATTTGGACATGGGAAGTGGAGACAGAAGCGTAAGCAAACAGAATTCTTTTCATCACATATATGTTACATGAATAATTTTAACGTAGGTAAAAAAACTGTTTTCTGCCAAGAAACGACAATTATTGCGAAGCAATCATCGGGGTTGGTGAGCGGCAGTGAACAGGGGACTTAATCCCCTTATATATATATGTATATATATATATATATAGATATAGATAGATGTATACACAAGCACACACGATAAAGACAAAAAAGGATAAAAGAAAAATCTTTTAATTTTCTTCTTCTTTAAAAATCTTTATATCTTTTTCCATATTTTCTCTATATTTTTTAACTTATAAATCTTGTATATATATAGTACAATAAAGGCAAGAAGGATAAATTTTTTAACTTATATAATGGTGGGTATAGCCGGGAAAAATTTAAAAAGTGGTAGAGTAATTTTGAAGATACAAATTGACTCTACTAAGTCCTATCTACCAATATATATTTAAAAACTAAAAGTAAAGAGAAATTAAACGTTTTGACATTATCAAGAAATATTGGTCTCCACTTTTTAAATTTTACTTAGTTCTGGCATCCTGTATATATATATAATATGTATACCTATACCATATAATTTTCCTGTTTTTAGATGTGTTTCCTCTTCATAAAATCTTTCATCTGTGGGATACTTTGTTATTAGGACATGCATCTTTCCCACTCTGCATTGGTGTTGCTATACTAAAACAATTAAAGAATAATTTATTGTCTTACAGTTTTAATGACTGCATTCTGATGTTTTCTGATATGCCAGGTAATATTAGGTTTAATTTGTTTTTTTCATATTTAACTTATTAATAGAATTTTTTTTATAAACTTAACCAAAGAAGTTGTCTTAATGCTTTATAAGTACTTTTTTTATCTGTGTTAAAAATATCAAATTATAAAAAATTTCAATTAGTCAATTTTTATTTGAATAACTTCAAACTCTGATGAAAGAAGTGTTCATTATTTTCTAAGAGTTCTTATAACTAATACCACTTTTTAAATTTAGTTCTTCACTTAGTTTATTTAGTTTTTATTGTTAATTGGTATGAAAAAATTTAGCTAAATATATAACTAAAATGAACTACCATATATCCCAGTGTACCGTATATCCCGGAAGTCGACCTATTTTTCATTACAGGCTAGCAAATTTCTGGTACATGTTTATAAGTTGACTATTAAAAATACCGATTATAAAAATTTCTAATTAATAACAAATAAAAAATTAACAAATGTACAAAATTTTCTCAAGTTAAAAATATTTCACATTGTTCTGGGTAGGATGCATTTGCCCTCTATTAAAAGCACCCTCTCAAAGATGCATTAACAAATGCTGTGTTTGTGCCGCTCCAATAGACATTTGTTAAATGATACTGGACGAGTGGCAAAATGTGTATTCAAGTTTTATAAAATCTTTAAAAAAAATAAGGAATTTCAAATTCTTTGGATGAAGATGATCTTTTATGGGGTTCAGCAGATGAGGATAAGTTTGAATCCATTGCAATGTGGGATCCATATGACGACACTGTTAGTGTTATTGATTTTGATGCAGACGATGTTCTGGAATCTTTAAATTAGTAACTTTTTGGTATGTTTTAAAAAGTTTCATTATGCTTTTTTCCTAAATTCTCTTGAATAAATTATCTTACATTTTCTTATTCTTAATTCTTTTTTGCATAACATCATTTCAAATATTGTTTCTAAAAAAAAACCATTTACATTTATAATGGTAGAAGATATGATGAGAGAAAATGCAAAAATTAATGGAATATAACATATTAAAAATAGTTTTTGAAAGGGGTATATTGCTATAAAGTTATACATATCTATTTCACTGTCTGTAATGCATCTATATTTCACAGTCAACTAATGACCGACTTTATTACTGTTTTAAAATTATTATCTATTTTTTCTTGTTTTTATTATAGCTTTCTACTTCTTATTTTCTTATCTTTTCCTATTTTTAGAAATTGACATCCAGCGTTGTGTCCAAGACTCAATTAAAGTTTTTTGTAGTACACCAAAAAGTATAACATACAGGATGCATGAAAGTCCTAATCCTAAACAAAAAAAACGTTTTGAATCAAACACTAAGTTTTCAAAGGCCGATAGTGTGGCAGATTCTGGTCTGGTGTGTATTTTATAGCTCAAGTATTAGTTAACTTTTGTGTTGCGATTGTAATCATTTTTATGTACATGCGTAATTTTTCAGCAAGCAATTAAAAAGAAGAAAAAAAAGCTTTTTTTTTTTCAAACTGTAATTTTTTAAATTTGTAGAAGCTAATTTATTTATTATATATATATTATTTTTTGGAGGAAATGTTAGCGATATTAAACAAGAGTTTAGGAGCCTATAAATTAAGGAAGTAAACTTAAGAATTGATATTTAATGTCTTAATTAAGATTAGCTACATCTTGTTTAGAAATATTATTTTTCCGTATAAATATGTAAATTAAATAATTTTGTGTTAAAATCTCTTATGTGTGTTGTGTTAAGTATTTTAAGCAAATTAAGTAATTTTCTAATTATAACCTGCTTTTTTGATGTATCATGTCAATTTTTGATGTATCTGTATGATCAATTTGCTTATAAAAGCGTATAGGAAAAGGGTTTTAAGATTTTCAAAAGAAGTTTTAAGAAGTGTCGATTTCGTGGTATTGAAGTGCATAATGTAAAATTAACCCTAAAAGTTTGAAATTTCCAAACAGATTCTCATTAAGTTGAAAAAGAATTATTTAAAAAAAAAAATCTTATTTCTCTGATCATATACAGTTTCAGTTAATAAAAAATAAGTTCCGAAAAATTCAAGTTATTAGTGTTGTTATTTGTTGAAATGTCTTTGCAGTGCAAAAAAACTTAAAGTTAGTATGACAAAATCATAATAAAAAAGTTTGAACTTATGAACAATTTCTTATAGAATTACCATATATATACCTTTATGGTTCAAAAAACTGTTTTATTGTGATTTTATATCTTATCCTATACAAGTGTGAGTGACATAGAACTTAAAAAATCAATTGTGATTCTCTATCTTAAGGTATCAAAATTGATTATATCATACTTTAATTTGAAATACTTTTTTCACGAATTGTGAAAATATCTGACAGTTTTTTATATATCTATAATTAAATAACAATAAATTTTTGTATAATGATATTTTCTTACTCTATAAAAAATACAGAATAATAATTCTCTGAGTTGTAATATGTTCAATTGAAATCTTCTACTTTTGTCAAGAGTATATGTTGGCATATGCCTGGAAAGCTGAAAATTTTATAACCACAGTTGGAAAAAAAAAAATTATTATTCATATTGTCCAATAAGCAAATGTGGCATTCTTATAGTTAGACTTTAAAAACTAGTCAGAAGTTGATCAAACTCCAGAAAGACAAACATTTGAAGTTAAAATTTTTAGACATGGAGCTAAGCAATGTCGACAGAGCTTATTTTGCTGAAAAAAGTACCCATGGCTGAGAGCCTATGTGAACAGGTTTTTCCACGATGAAAATTAATAGATCAAAGGATGGGACCAGGCTAACAAATGGAAATTTGTGAAACATTTTGTATCTGTATATAACAGGAATTTATCTTTAATTTTATATTAGTGGAATTGTGCCTATGTATCAGTTGAGTTAATCTTGTTCTTGTAACTTTAATGTTGTACCGTCATTCGGGGCTACTTTGTGCAGGATTTCGCAGTTTTTGAACTTTGACATGTAAAAAAACTATGTTAATTCAAACTTTAGTAAAATTTATCGATATTATATTCATAACTGGACTCAGACGAGTGAATTTGATCAATATTGGCATTATTTGTATGTAATATTTACAAATAATAAGTCAAAACATACCTTGCACAAAGTAGCCCCCAAGTGGGGCTACTTTGTGCAGCGATAGGAATTCAGTTTAATAATCATGTTTTTAGTAAAATATTGATATAAAATTGTTAAAAAAGTTAATTGTTGACATTTTTAATAACAAAAACATCAAGATATGTAAAGATATTAGTTTGAAAATAATTTTCAGCGTTAAAAAACCATTTTTTATAAAGAATTTTTTCTTAAAAAGAATGTTTATTTCAAAACATTTGAGTTTAAACAAAAGGAAACCATATACATTTTTGAACATTGAAATGGATGAAATTTCAAAAATAATAATTATTACATATTCATTAACATTTATAATATTGATAAATTTGAACATAACATGCTTGAATGAACATGACAGAACTTGCTCTTCAGTTTCTGTCAAAATCACCTGATGTCCTATAAAATATATTTTTATGTGTTAAATCGTTTGATTAATTCATTAGAAAAATCTTTGTAGAAGAAAAATAATAGTTTACCAGCACGTTTCACGTGTTTCTTGTGAATTTTATTAGAGATAGTATTTCTGTGGATTTTGTACTTCCGAGAAGCTTCTGCAATCGACATACCACCAGCAACTGCTTGCAAACATTGTTGCAGCTTTTCTAAAGTGTAATCACGGTAGTTTCTCGTTCCAGGTATTTTTTTATAACGTCTGACCATTTTTCTGTCGAAAAAAAAAACGAATGAAACTTTGCACAAAGTAGCCCCAAAGTGCATTTTTTTTCATTTTCCGTTTATTTGTTATTAATTTTCAAATTTTTTTAACGCTAACATGATATAATTGTTTATTAATATATAAATAAAAAATTTTGCACTTACGACAATTGTTTTATCAACGTCTTTGCATTTCACAGCTAAAGTTTCCACGCACACTTTTCGACATCCGACGTCCTCGGAAAGTTGTTGACATTGGATGAACGAAACACACTCTGAGATTGTTTTAAAATTCGAAAAAATGTTTGTAGTAATAGAGGAGACTTCTATCTTCAAATTCCACACATTTTTAACGTGAAAAAAAACATAATACTGAATAGCAGCACTTGAAAAATGCCAAATTCGAATTTGCACAAAGTAGCCCCGAATGACGGTACTTAAAAATTTATAAAATAAATCTAATGTTATCATTATTATATTTTTAATGCTACTTATTACTTCATTTTATCCTTATGTTTAACCTGTAACTTTCCAAGGGCCACCCATGTCTGGTTAAAGCAATCACTTTTTTTAAAATCTAATTTAAAATATTGCATGAAAGAGAATAATTTAATTTTCTGAATTTAGTTTCCAAACAAAATAAAATTTTAAAAAATTTTCCAATCTACTACTAGTCATAATGTCATAATCTACTAGCCTTTTAGAGGGCTTACTTTCTTCAGATAAAATACAGTACCCTAAGGTGCCGATGTTAACTGTTTTTGTTTCTTATTTTTAACTATTTGGTACTGCATTGGACTCACATTGTTAAATTGCATTGTTTGACTTTTTTGAATTTGAGCTCAGTGTGTGAAAATTGTACTGTTAAACCCAACCAACTCTGAGCCTTAATTTTGATGCTGCTCACATTTTGGAAACCTATCTGTATTAATTTATTAATGTGTTTTTCAGACTATGAAACCAATCCCATTACATGAGCTTATATCTGAAACATGTCCGAGAATTTCTGCTGAAGATCTCTTAGACTTATTAGATATTTTACCAGATTCTAAAACCAGAGCCAGATCACAAAGCATAAAGTTATTGGTGATTGACATTCGACCAAATGATGAGTATCCTTTTCATTTAAAAATGCACCAGTTTTATTTGCTACTTGCTGTTAAAAAAGTAATTAATGTTCATTTTCAATACAAATTTTAAAAATGCTTGTAATTTAACTTTTAACTATAAAAATGAGGGCACAAAAAATAAGTTATAAGTTAATAGTAATAAGTTATAAGTTAATTATGTTAACATTTCACAACTTGAGAATGAGTTAGTGAAGAATCATTTTTCCAAAAGTTATGCTTTTGCAGAAAAAGTGAAAATTACACTTGCAAGAGTTCATATTAATCCTTTATTGTCAATTTATTTATCATATTTTTGATATACAGTGGAACCCCGATTTTACGTTGTCCGTTTCGTACGTTATCCCGCTTCCTGCGTCATTTTCTGCTGATCCGTGAAAATTTCCCATACCGATAATGTTAAAAAATCCCGGATTTTGCGTTACCCCTTTTATGAAAACCCGCTTGATGCGTTTTTCTACCAGCAGGTCAAATTAATTTTTTTTTATTCTACAACTCTCACACAAACTTTTCCCCAATTTTTTGAACATGAAAAACTTGCTTTTCAGCTGTATGTAGCAATTCTTGCATTCTTTCTGTTCCATTTGACAATAGAGGGGTAGGTAACAAGCATAAAAACTGCAAAGCATAAAAACTCTAAAACAATTTTTACTTGCAAATGTAAATCAAGAAGCAAATTTGCAATAAAATGTTAGTATTGAACGAGTTGTAGATGAAATTGTAGCTAAAAACAAAGAGGAAGTGAAAATTACTAATCTTTTCCATTAATTTAACTGGTAGGTGTCAATTTTTAAAAATATGCATAGATTTTTCTTAATCCCGATTTTACGTTATTCCGCCTCGAGCGTTTTTTATCGCTAGTCCGACCGAAAACGTAAAATCGGGGTTTCACTGTATTAGCAATGTTTTATGCTTTTCTGAAAATTCAATTTTTAAGTTTTCAATAAATGATGAAATTTTGTTTATCATGACCCATTATTAATATTAAAAAATTTGTGTTATGCAAATTAACTGAAAATCAAATATTCTTTGAAAGTTATAATCTATAAGGTGGTAACATGTTTCAAGACTCAGAGCTCCAGTCTTGCTAATTAAAGTGGATTCCACTGTTACTATAAATCAGAATATGGCAGCATCAAACATGGTTGAATATTATTCGTCTCCGGATACCCATAAAAATTTGCCGGGTCTGGGTACCCAGTACCAGGTCTTGCGACTAAGGACAAAATCTGGGTACCAAATAGGAAAATTCTTTTTCTAGGTCCGAGTAATGTTTTCTAGCCGAGTAATGTATAAAAAAGGGTACATCTCAACAAAATAAGTTTGTTTGATAAATTGGAAAGTTGCCGTATTCTATTACATATGATCACCTTTCTCTACTTGGTGAGGAAAAAGTACAGAAATCCTGAATTATTTCCTATTGAAAAATATAAAAAAAAATGCCAGTTTAATCAATTCAGGGAACTTACAACAAATTTTGGGTTTCAGACTTTTCTGGTGCACCATTAATTCTGATATATTGCGTACAAATTATCTGTTAAAGAAGTAATGCATTTAATAATGCAGATTATTGATCCATTTGGATAATATGCCGAAATTTTTTTCTAAGATCTAAAAAAAACAGACATTACAAAATATCTGTTTTTGTTCTTGCTATAAGGTGTGGCAATCTAATATATGTTTTTTGAAATTAAAATACATTAGATAGTAGCAATTCAAAAAAAGTATGGAAGTGTTCTAGAGGAAAGAGTGACAAAGATATTAAGATTTCTATTCTTATAAATTGCTACTGATTCATAGATAATGTTAAACAATCTTTAATCAATCAAAACTACCCTAACAGGTAATATTTTAAGAGGAAAATAAATACTGGAAGGAAAAAAAATTTTATATTACCAATTTTAAAAATAGTTCAAGAATAAAAATTGTATCTGTAACTTTCTATAATTATGCTTTTTTATTACACAAAAATGTTAGGGCTAAAATTTCTGTTATTTATCTCTATTTTTTTTCTTCCTAATTTCGTTCTCCCCTTTTGCATTTGGTTTGCCACTTTCCATTGTTTTTTTATTTTTTTATTATTATTATTCAACTCTCGATCTTCTTCAGGGATTTGCTATTTCTGTTTAACTGCAGTGGTATGTGCACCTAAAACAATGTTTAGTATATAGTGTTTATCCATTGTATATTTGGTTAAACATCTTTGTATTTATTAATAATTGATTATCATTGCAACAAATAAATAGTAATAAGTTTTGTAGTTTTTTTTTTACCAAGCAATTTTAAAACCATAGTTGTTATTTTCTCCGAAAGGTACAGTATTTTACATTTATAATTTTTTTTATTTTTATGAGTAATGTCTGAAATTATAGGCATGAACAATTCAGAAAGGGAGTAAAATTACTAATTGTTTTTAACCCCTTGCCTGTGATGCCCGAACTCAGTTCACGCAACAGAAATGCACTGATTTTGGAATGCCCAACCTGAGCTCGGGCAAGAGAAATATCAGTACTTCAATTTCGTGAAGCCTGAACTCAGTTCACCCTATAATTAGTAATTTACCACTTTCCTATTTGATGGCGATATTTGATTTTAAATTTCCCCTGAAAAATTTGGCAGTTTCAAGTTATTTGTCAGATTTTTGTGATTTTGCAGTTTCAAGTTATTTGTCAGATTTTTGTGATTTTGCCGTTCAAAGGAATCTGAGAGACATAGAATTCATGGCAGTTGAAATAGATAATATTGCTGTATTAATTTATTATATTTATCCTCAAATTTATTTAATTTGATTTGCTGTAATTTGAGTTATTATTTCTGTAATCCATTAGCATTTCCCATATATGTTAAAATATTAAATATAGTAGTCATTTCATTCAAAATTTAGTGTTTGAAAAAAATCTATTTCTAGCATTTTGATGATGATAGCAAACAAATTTAAAGAAAAAAAAACTCCATGTTTGGCACATTTTTCCTAAATATATTCCACAGGCAAGGGGTTAACAACAACACATTTTTCCTAAAGCACTTAAAATGAGCATAATTTTCTTTTTTTTCTTTTAAAGTTTTTCTTACCAAATTAAACACAAGAAAAATTGAAATAAAATTTTTATTACATTCAAATGACCATTACCTAATAGCTAAATATTATTTCTTGAGAGTAGATAGAAAATGTCTTTTTAAGCAAAAAGGTCCAGCGTTTCTATACATGCCACTTCCTGTTTCTAATCAATTTTATGTAGAAAAATGTAATAACTCAAAATTTACAATGTTTTAAGAATGTAAATATATACTTTATTGCTTTCAGTGTTGCATGAATAGTTCTATTCTTAATAGTATCTAGATATAGCAAAGGAGCTCTGCCAAATAGCATCAACATTCCTTTCTCATCTGCATTCACATCTGACGGTATAGTGGACAGTCCGATTATTCGAAGCTATAAAGGAAAAATCATTACAGTTGTTAGTAGTAACACAAATAAATTAGCTTCTGAGGTACATTTAAACATATTTTTTTAGTAATATTATTAAACTGGTATCTTATGTATAATCTTTCTTCTTCAGGTTTGTTCTTTTGCTTCATATTTAGTTGAAAATAAATCTTTAAATATATGTATTAATTTTTCCCAATGTACTTTGCTTCTGCAATAGATTGGAAGAAACAAGCGCTAGGCAATCATACACACCAAATCTAATTGAAGTATAAATATTTTACATTAAAAAAAAAAATTTGTCATGTTATTACTATTATCGCATGCAAGTATAGTAAAGTACTTGCATGCAGTAATAGTCTAGCTTTCTCAAAGAATTTTATAAAAACAGCAATAAGTAATAAAGTAGAAAAACAGTTAACTAACTTGAGCCTACGATTCTACACTTTTTTTTTTATATATTCCTTAGCAAATTTAATTATAAACTTTTTGTACCTTCAAATTTATTTAAATAATTCTGAAATAATATCTTTTGATTTCAAAATTTGATTATTATTCTTGCTATTTTCATAAATAGTTCATAATTTTAGAATACGAATGAATGCTTGTAATAATAATTATTATTATAATTTTTTTTTTTGATATTTGAAAACATTTGATTAGAATAATGTGTAATTGAATAAAAAATCATCTAATCCTCAATAATAAGAATATAAATGATGTCCTATCTCCATATTCCCAATCACTGTCAAATTAAATTTCTGTTGAAATTCCTCCAGATTGTAGTCCTTTGTAAAAAGTGATGTTGCCTGTTCTCTACATTCGTGATTGCATTGTAATAAAATATGTGATTCATTAGATAAATAATTGAAAAAGAATCTTGTTTTAAATAAATTTAATTTTTGGTAAGTAATGAATAAAAGCTGAATGAGAAATATATAAAAAGAAATAAAAAAATCAGTCGGATGAAGGGTTTTCAGAATATAGGACATTTTATGGCATGTGGAGAAAATATGAATTATAGGTCTTTTATAAACAATGTTTCTTAAAAGCTTTCAAGTTCAATTTTTAAGTTTTCTATTAGTTGATAGCTGCATATATTCGATATTTATAATTTAGTATGCTTCACTAATATTGTATAATACTAATATTTCAGACAAAGATTCTTATCAGATAGTTTATCCTGCAATGCTGTAAAAATGTTGAAATAATATTTTTCTTTGAATATACTCTTAAGACTAACTTAAAATGAAACTTTGAAAATACTGTTAAGATTAACTGAAGTCAATAGAAAGGAGAGTAAAACAAGAAAAAACTATTTCTTTTTCTTCTTTTTTTTTAGTTTGCGACAAAACTTGTGCGTCAAGGATACAGTCATGTTTGTACTCTTCATGGTGGAATAGAAGTCTTACAAAAAACTGGTTTTCTTACTACTTGTAACACTGAAAGTTAAGCTGATACATTCCAAATTATTCAAATAATGCTATGGATAAAAAATTTTAATTTATTCTATAAATACTATATTATATTTTATAAAGTTTACTAGAGTGGTGTGTTGGGATTTTAGCAAGTCTGTGAAATCGATTTTTTCTCATAAAAGTAAATGTAAACAAACATCGAAATATGACTCTTATCATTTTTTAATAATAATTAATTTTCTTAAAATATATTAAAACACAATTATGTTGTAATTATTAAAGACTGATACTTTTAGGAATAAAATGTTCAAAATTGTTGAATAAATTATAGTTTAAGATATAATAAATTTCATAAGTTGGAAAAAAGATTTAAAAAAAATACTGCTAAAGCATCTGCTAAACTATACTAGTTGATTAGTAAAATATTAACAATCAGAACTAGATCTGTAAAATAGATAACTCTGGCAATTTCTAATGTTTCTTTAATGAGAAAATGCGAGAGGAGGAAAAATTCATAGATTTCGTTCTTGGTATTTTGAAAATTTTTTTTTGGAAAATTTTTTTTTTGTTGTTGTTGTTATTTGTTATATAAATCACCCTTTCAGAAAATGAAAGTCTTGATATATTTAAGAGGCTAATACCTTCCAAAGTAGACTTATTTCTAAATATAATTCACGAATGCCCTCTACAGAGAATTAAAATTGTGATGGTATATCTTCGGATCATCCCTAGGAATGTTTTTCAAACCGTTGCCAATGGCCCATTGTGCAGCTCTAGTGTGACGTAAATAAAGTATCTAGCTACAAACATAATTATGTTGGCTCCCATTTGCTATCATAAAAAATAAATAAATAATTATTTTGGTAAAATATTTGTTTATTAATTCTTTTTCTGATGTATTTGTTGTATAAATATTAATAAATAAAATTAACTACAGCAAAACAATACTATATGATTAAAATATTTCTGCTTTCGATCGTGAGAAGAATTAACCTACGATAATAAAAAGCCCAAGCATCAACCTAGCAATCTTACTTCTAATTGCTTGTAGTTTTCATGCAAAAATGACAATGCAATATAAAAAACATGCAATATATAAACTTTTTTTTACTGACAGATTTTCATAGATTTCAAATCTGTATATTGAATCTAAAAAAAATCATTGTAAATAGAAAACTTTTCTATGTATAATTTAATGTACTCTTAGCAAATATTTATCTTTTTTTGAAATGTTCTTTGTAAATTTCATGTTATATTACTCTTTGTATTATTTAAATTAAATATATGTTGTATAAAATGTGCTATGTATTTCTTTCAAGTTTAATCATTTGTAAACTCGTGTAAATCTTTATTCATTTAAGTCTCATCTTCAAAAATTTGGTAGAACACAAATCTGAATTTTTTCAGATAATTTTAATCTTTGTTTGAATAAAGCGTTAAATAATTTATGAAATTGAGGTTGAATATCTCACGGTAATACAGTACAGTAACTTAGCTTATCTCATAGTAATATCCTAAAACAAGTGTTCTAGTCAATTGTGAAGGTACAAGTACCCTTATTTACCTTTAAAACTAAGTCCTTTCCTTCTACCACTTCAAAAATTTCAGGCTTCCTTAAAAATTACTATAATTTTTATAAGATAGTTTTAAAAATCTAATTTTCATAAGATTGTTGATTGATATTATTATAAAATTGTTTAAGAACAGAAAGCAAATTAAAATAATTAAAACTTGCTCTTTACCTTGTATGATTTTTCTAAACTCATTGCAATTTTACATTGATACATCCAGAATTTGAAAGAAATCATTATACAATAAAAGAGATAATTTGAAAAATATACTGCTAGTATCTAAGAATATTGTTAAAAACTGTTGTGGGATTAAGATTTCTATTTCTAAAAAATTATATTAGAAAAAAATTTATGAAAAATTAGGAACTACAAGACACTAGTATTCTTATTTTTGATGTTTTCATCGATATTTCAAACACTTTTTGTCTTTTGCAACTATTATGGTCAACTATTAAAGATAGTTGACCATAGCACAGCTTGTGACACCTGAAAAATTGAAGCAAGAAAGGAAAAAAAGTTACCATTCTGATGAAAAGAAATAATTTTAAAATTTCTAAAATTTGTTGCAATAACAATTTAGGTCTTCTAAAGAAATTTATGCTTTCAAAATTTGTAATTAGAAATAAAGATGTGCTCAGTTTTTATCAAGAATCTCCTACCGCGACCCCTATGCAAATGTACCATTTGCTCCTTCTCTCTTATATAATAGCTTGATTCTACTAGCCTAAAACAACAAACTGAAAAAGAAAATTACAAAATTAAATGGTATTGGATAATAATCTAGATTGGCTGATCATAAAGTGCTGAAAAAAAGTTAATCACAAAAGGAAAAAATTAAAATTCAAAGCTTAATATAAATGTGAAAAACATTAAATAAATCAAAAAAAAGAAAAAATTTATGTTGAAAACGTATGAATGCCCTATATGTGGAGAACAAATTAGTTTGAGCAAAAGGATATGATGGATGTTTGTCGGATGGAGATGTCGTAAGCGTGGATTGAACGCTGTTGTGCATGATGTTTGTCGGTGTGTCGAAATATGATCCATCGGAGTAAAGGTAAATTATTTTTTATTTTATTAAAAATATTTTAACAAATTTGTAATTATTTAAATTGTTTTTTTATAGTAAAAAAACAACGTTGATCCAAATAATAATCGCCAACTTGTCAAGATTTCAAAAAGTCGCCAAGGGGTTACTATTCTAGGGCAACTATTCTAGGATTTTACCAAAGTATCAAACATTTTTTTTATTTCCAATGGCAGAGAACTTGATATAAAGGGGGAAAACAAAGAAAAAGTCATTGTCTCATTCTGCCTCGAGTCTCCCAATAACGCACCACCAGTGCGAGTATCAAACATTATCGATTGATTTCGAAAAATTGCCGATTACGACATCGAACAGCAGCGTTTCGAAATATTTATCTATGTAAAAACGTCAGTGTTTTACTCATGTTCTGAGATATTGCAAAAATGATACAGTTTGATGTTCAAAACGCTGTGGCATGCCAATCGATATCTCCCAGCATTGACAAACGCAGGATGTCGACCGACATCGTCAACACGATATTTGTGAAAAGAATGCTGTAGAATGTTGGCCATGCCCAAAAGTGTGTTTTATTTGTTAAAAAAACGATAGTATTTGAAAATATTCTGAGGCCTATTTAAACTCCGTGAGAGAAACAAAGAGGTAGGTAATAAAACCTTGCTTTCAAAAATTAAAACTTCGCATAATTTTATTTTCACATTATCTAAAATTTCTTTAGAAAAAAAATCTGCAACTAAATCTAGAGAAAGATTTGCTATGTTGATACATGTATACTGAGTGGAAAGAAAAGTACCTGAAGTATTTTATGAATGCTTTAATGTTCGTGTTCAATTTGTTTTAAAATAACATAGGTTATAATAGTTTTTAAAAGCTTTCCTGAAAACGTAACTGGCAATCGAAATGGGCTAGGTGGCATCGAGCAGAACTCTCTACCTCTAGCAACACTTCGCATATTTTCACCAGTAGCGTCATAGGAGAAAGAAGTACGTTAGTTTCTGTCTTGATTTTCAGATATATTAAAAACTTTTAAGTTAGGATACTATATGGAACTGAAAACATAGTTCTAAAAGAAAGCGTTATAGAAATTTAAATGTTTTTTTTTTTTTTACAATAAATATAAAATATATTAAGAAAAGGGGAAATGATACATTTCTATGTAATTTGAGAAGAGAAGGAGAGCGAGGGTGGGAAGGTCAAGACATGGAAATGGTCTTCTCTCCAGATGGCGTATCGGGACTTTGTGAATAAAATTCTCAATTAAAACATATTTTTTCTTTTTCGTATGGATGATTGACTGAATGTAAACAATAACAAGCTTTCTAAAGCCATAAGAAATTTTAAAAACTTTCGGTATATTCCTCCGCTTATGTTATTCTTATGATGTGATGTGTGAGCAAGCTTAATATTCTGGGAAGTTTTGTTAATGTGGCTTATGATTAAATATGCGCGTAATTTTAGCATTCATAAAAGTTTCCTGTGATTTAAAAAACTCTAACTAGTTGTGAACCTGAAACAAATTGAAGAAAATTAATATCACAACATTAAAAAAAGGGTAAGATTTGCTATGTTTTGAATGTTATCCCTTATTTGGCTATACTTGTATAAAATATCACCGTTAGTTTTTTTGTGGTTGCATCTTGCAGGGCATCGTATGCTTGGGGAGTCTTCCAAATTCATATGTTGTTTGTAAGGGCCTATAATTTCTGAGGGGCCTCAAAAATTAGTAAAAAGTCTAATGAAAGATTGGATAGCTTTGTGTTGGTTTAAGTGCTGAATAAAAAATAATTACGGTTTACAATAAAAAAATAATTCAGCTAATCGGTGACTTTTAGCAAAAATCACTGGTTTCAATTGTTTGTGGTCACCGAACTATTTTTATTTTGACATAACATTGTTTTGTTGTTTTATATTTTGCTTTAATTTATAGATACATAAACTTTATCTTAGAAAAATAATCTTCAATTGTCTGCTTTCAAAATTTCTTAGAATGTTTATCTTGAATCTTGCAGTTCAATAGATTCTTTTCTATAGTTATGACTTATTACTCAAAATATAATGTAAACTTCAATAATTTAATTTCAAAATATTTTGTAAAGGGCCCGGAGAATTTAGTGGGCCTTGGGCCTGAATTTGTCTTGATCGGTCCCTGACTATAAGTATAACAATATTTGAGGGTGCGCAATTTCAAGCTTAGGCTTAAAAATCAATCGGAAGTAGTAACCCGGAAGTCTTACGACGAATTTTAACCCCTAGAATCATCTGTGTTTAGCTTTACACGTTCAACCATCCATAGTTTTCTATAAGTTCTGTAGCAGAATTTTGCACAAATAAGCAAAGTTGTAAAGGTAATGTTTTCATGCAGACTTTAAAAAGCCAAAAGTTGCTTTTCTTAATATATCAGCCACTTATTTTTGCACATGACAGTACCCATCCACAATTGTAAATGATACCTATAAAATTCTCTTGACTATTAGAAATGGCAGCTTTTTGAAGTCTGTGTGAAAAACTTAAGTGTTTTCACATTTATAACCATTTGCTTATTTGTGCGAAATTTTGCAACTAGACTATTAGATAGGAAAAAGAGAAAATACGTCTTTACTAAGAATTGTCAAAATTAAAATAAAATTTCTGTTTTTATTATGTTATTCGGGAAACATTTAAGAACTGAGTTGTAACCTATACTATTTTTTAAATAAATAAAACAAGAATATTAAAACATTCATGCTTTTCTTCTCACTCACTATATATAGTGAGTGTGGCGTAACTACCACTACGGAAATTAAACATCAATTCACTGGTATATAAAGCATGCTAACTTGATTCTATCAAGAGGTACCTTTTGATAGATGAAGGTTGGTATGGTCGATTAACTCCGCCCCCACATTGGTGACCCGGACGTGATTTGAACACACAGTAACGCCCACTTCGCAATATTCCTAACAGTAACGCCTACTTCGATGGATAATCCACATTGAAAGTTGACTAGCTATTTGCGACTGCATCATCAACCTCCTGCGCTGTTGCTACTCAGTCTTGTCTCGAACATGCAACGTCATACATTTCTCAACTCCTGCATACACTCAACTGCTAATGTCAACACAGGAGCGACTTCTACTGTGAAGTTAATACACCTCTCACATTCAGCACTCAAAATATCGGTGACCGCTCTCCCGGTCCGTCACAAGTACAGCAACTAGTGGTATCTATACAACTAATTCTATCCCTGATTGAATTCTGGTGGCTGAGTAATGTGGCGTAACTACCACTACGGAAATTAAACATCAATTCACTGGTATATAAAGCATGCTAACTGGATTCTATCAAGAGGTACCTTTTGATAGATGACAGTTGGTATGGTCAATAACTCCTTCCCCTACAGTGAGTAAAGAAGTACTGAGTGGATATATGTATACATATACCCCTTGAGTACTTCATTCTCTACGTTTAGTTGCTGGTTCTTTTTCAGGTGAAAATTCATGTTCTGTTAAAATAAAGTTATACCAATATTGGATTTTATTGAAAAAACAAAAAAAGTAAGTGGACGTAGTTGATTTCATTTAAATTTTTTTCCGTATCACTCCAAGAAGTGTTAAAAGAAATAGCAAGAAATATAACAGGCTGTCTGTACCTTGGAAAAAAAGAAAAAATTGGTATCATCGTCGCCTTATTTTTTTTGGGGGGGGGGGGAGAGGAATA